GGTGGGTGGTTTAACAGAAGGCCGACGGAAAGGGAGATGCATGTGTGTGTGTGCAAGGGGGGAAGTGCCTTTTGCATTTGAACGGAAATTCGAAATTCGACGGGCCATATATCACAGCGGTGATTGAAGCCTTCGCTTGTGACTCTCCGTTCGAGAATCATTCACCGCTGTATCACTCGAACCATCCACCATCGTGGGGTTTCATGGGAAGGCTAGGGATGGGTAGGGATCATGTGATAATGAATGGATGCGGGATGAAGGAATAAATACGAAAAGTGTACAACCGACTCTCCTCTCTCGGTCTGGGTTCGGAGGTTCCACGGGGCATTGTGGGCGTGTGGACTGAATGACATATAGTTCAAACAACTCACAACATATAATACACACACATGTACATATGTACGTGTATGTATATATGTAAGTACATAAGTCTAACATCCAATGCTTCGGATATTGTGCTCTGTTTCTTCAGTTTCTTCATTTCATCCATTTTCCATTTCCATTGGTTTTTGGTGTGTGAATCGGACATTTAACAGCTGTCTGCTCCAATTCTAGTTTTCTTCAATTTACAATACATTAATGTACACATTTTAAATAATAATAATGATAGTAATAATAATAATAATGCTACGTAATATAGTACATATGATATTTACTATATAGTATATATAAATATAGCGCTTTTCTTCACTACGGACTATCAAAAAAAAAAAAAAAGAAAAGAAAAACAGAATCCAAAGAGTAAAGAACGTACGGAAATTACACTTAATGGAGGAGTGGGTTTTTGTTTTTTCTCGGTTTTCCTTTTTTTTTTTGGGGCTGGCTGTTGCTTGAGTGCGTGGTGCATATTATAGATCTTGCATGTAGGCAATGTATCCTTGCGTCCAACATTTTGGGACTTAACTAAAGCTAGACAGGGAGCTGTATTGAGTTGGAAAGACCGGCAGGAAGTTCCGGGTCTCTGCGGGACGGCCGCAAAGCATTGCTTCGCAGGGACCATGGTTCCTCCTAGCCACTCTCGTTCCTTCGGCGCTCGCACCTACGCAGCTCCTTCATGGCGCCGGCTGCAAAGTTGCTCCAGGCCGACCATACCATGGGGTCTTCCACAATCGCCTCGATCAGGTTGTTCGGCGTGAGCTGCCCCTAATAAGTGAGAAGCGCCCACATTGAAAAATTATGTGCTCGGCGTCTTCAGTGGCGTCGCCGCACCACGAGCAGTTCGGCAAGTCCTCGTGGCCGAACCTCCAAAGGTAATGGCTGAAGCAGCCGTGTCCGCTCAGAAGCTGTGTGGAATGGAAATTGACCACACCGTGTCGCCTGCCGATCCAATATCGGACATCCGGAATCAGGCGGTGTGTCCACCGTCCTTTATCGGAGCCGTCCCAGCGGCTTTGCCATGCTCTGAGGCTTCCTTCCTCTCCTCAAGAACCAGAAGGTCAATTGGAAGGACACCCGCCAGGACTAGGGCAGCGTCGTCGGATATGGTCCGAAAGCCGCAGCAGATCCGGAGCGCGCAGAGGCGATGAGTGGCTTTTACGCCCCTAGCGTAGCTGGCAACTTTAATTCCATCCGCCCATACGTCTGCTGCGTAGGTCATGGCTGAGCGGACTACACTGGTCAGCAGAATCCTCCTCTCCTGCTTCGGGCCACGGGTGTTCAGCAGTATTCGGAACAGCGCCCGACTCGTGTTTGCCGCTTTCTCCTGGACGTAGCATAGGTGTTCACGGAAACTGAGCCTGGTGTCGATCATCACGCCCAGATACCGAATGGCTCGTTTCGACGATAGTCTCTGGTCGCCAACCCTGATGTGAGCGGTCTCCACAGTCGAACGGGTGCTCACCAATACTGCCTCGGTTTTATGAGCGGCTAGCTCTAGTCCCGCAGAGCGGAGCCAGTCTGCAATCAGCTGGATTGCGGTGTCACAATTTGCTTCGACGACGTCCAGGTGCTTGGCCACCACCGTCAGGGCGACATCATCTGCGTAGCAGGTTAGCTGACATCCGCCTGGAAGAGCTAATCTCATGACTCCATCGTAGGCAATGTTCCATAATAGGGGACCCATCACTGATCCTTGGGGAACGCCTGCCGTTATGCCGTGAGTCTGCGCGCCGGCCTCCGTATTATACTCCAGCAGTCTCCCCTCAAAGTAGCTCCTTACGATTGCCTGAAGGTATTGGGGTACACCGCGCCGGTTAAGTGAATGCAGGATGCACTCCCACTTCACCGTATTGAAGGCGTTCCTGATGTCTAGGGTGACAATCAGGCAGTATTCCTTCTTGCCGCCCTTCCATCGAGTTCCCTCCACTGCCTTGGAGGCTATGTCAACTACCCTGCCTATGGCGTCCACCGTTGACCTCCCACTCCTGAAGCCGTATTGGTTTGGTGAAAGTCCCCCAGCATCCTCGACGGCGTTGTCCAGTCTTCTACGGATTATCTGTTCCAGAGTCTTCCCCAGCGAGTCGATTAAGCAAATCGGTCGAAACGAGGAGGGATCGTCCGGCGGCTTTCCTGGCTTTGGCAAGAGCACCAGGTGTTGCAACTTCCACTGCGGCGGAAATAGTCCTTCCCGCAGGCACTGCGTGAATGCCTTAGCAAACTCGTGCGGGTTGTGTGCCATCGCCAGTTTTACCGCACGGTTGGGGATTCCATCAGGGCCTGGAGCCTTCTTGGCCTTTAAGCTTTGGGCCAGGGCGACGATTTCGTCCTCCGTAACCGGTTCGACCGAATATGCAGGCTGGTGTGCGTCGGCACTGATGGCAAGACCGTGAGTCCCGGATGGGAACAATGCCTCAACAATCGTCCGCAACTGGTCTGGGTCAGACGGCGACCCCGCGTTGCTGCCATGAATTCGCTTCATTACCGTCTTGTAGGCACGTCCCCACGGATCCTTCTCGGCTGAGTCGCAAAGCTGCAGGAAGCACTCCCTCTTGCTCTCCTTGATGGCGGTCTTTAGGGCTTTTCTAGCTCCGCAGTACTCCGCCTGTAGCCTTGGCCAGCTAGTGCCACTCCTTCTGCGAGCCCGTTGATATCGCCTTCTAGCTGACAGGCAAGTGCGTCTGGCCTCCTGGATCTCGTCATTCCACCAATAGGTCGGCGATTGCTTACCCTTGAATGGCCTCTTGCGACTCATACTGGCATCGCATGCGAGCAGTAGGGACTCCAGTAGCTGGTTGACCATCTGTTGAGCTGAGCCTCCGACCTCCATATTCCTCAGCGCCTCCAAGAACCTTGGAATCCGCATTGATTCGGGATTGTAGGCTGCTCTCCGGCTTGTCTGCGTTGCCCTGGTCAGTCTGCAACCACCTTCTCCGCCTATCGAGAACACCACTGCCTCGTGGTCGCTGGCCGTATAGTGGTTCCCCAGGCGCCAGGTGGACAGAGGGGAAAGGCTACTAGAGGCGAATGTAAGGTCGATGACTGACCCAGAGCCACCCCTGTTGAAGGTATTCGCGGTCCCCCGATTCAGCAATGCTACGTCCAACGCAGCGAAGGCCTCAAGCAGTGCGTGGAAGCGGAAGCACCACCCGCTTCTGTCTACAGAGCTTTTGCAATTAAGTGCAACGTGGCCGATCTCAAGACACCTGAAGCACTTTAACGGCAGATTTCGCTCCCGTATGAGGCAGACGGACCATGCCACTTTAACCTTACCAACGGATAGCGCCTTCGTCGCAAGGGTCGCCGGCAGGCAAATAATAGCCCGCTGGGTACCACCAAAGCCTGGGCGCAAACTCTTAATGGCGTCCACATCGAGTGTAATCCCCATTTGATCGCTGAAGGCCTTCCCCACGTCCTCCGAGGTAGCCATCTCATCCAAGTCGAGCATCTCTAGCCTCGTCTGCTGGGTGAGTGCTCGCGCCTCCGCCTTGCCTCCTAGGACAGTGCCTATATCCTCGCGAAGCAGCTGCGCGGTCTCCTTCGAGGCGTCTTTGAGCTCCAATAGAAGAGCACCTTTGGCTGTTCGCTTCACTCTGCTCACACTCTCGCCTACCTTCTTCATCTTCTCGCTCTGGTTGCGGGTGACGAGGTTAAGGATCTCCGCGTAAGTCATTTCCCCTTTTGGCTCGATGATAATAACATCCGGACGGGGCCTTGGCTTCCGGGCGTGCGCTCTGCTCTTCACCTTCTCCCATTCACCTTCGGTAGGTGCAGCTGATTCGGTCTTCCTTGCCGGTTGCTCGTGGGACTGCAACGTGGGATGGCCACTCATATTGTTTCTCCGCTTCGGCGAGCTCCTCGTCGGCTTGTCCAGCTTCCTTTTCGGCGCATCGTGTTGAGGGGAGCACTGCGTCTCCTGATCACGCCGCTCCACCCTCTCCTTCCTCTGAAACTTCGCGTCGAAGCTGTGAAGCGCGGACTTCTGCATCCTCACCACGTTCTGCGCCAACTCTTTCATCTCTTTGTTGAGATAACGGGCGTCCCTCAGCATCTTCGACAATTCCGTCGACTTTTCTACCAGCGAAGCCAGGATCGCCCGCAGATCTCCTTCGGCCTTTGGTCCTGTGCCGCTTTTGTCTGTGGAAGCACTGCTGAAGTCAAAGGGATTGACAGGGACTTCTGCTGGTGCAGACACAGTCAGTGCTGGCAGCACTCTAAGGGGCGCCTTAAGTGGAGTTCCGGTACCAAGGCTTAGCTGGGCCGGCTTCTCAACTGCCTGCTCCCTGGGCCAAATGCCTCGGGGCGTCTGCCACTGTGGTGGGGAACGCTGCAGGCTAGTTCTCCTCTCAAAGACCCGCTTTTCCTCGTCCTCCATTCTTCCTGTTTGTAATTGCCAAATACTCGATTTGAAATTTGAAATTTAAAATTTAAAATTTCAAATTTGGGGCCCGCGCGATTTTCCGGTTGGCGCTCAACTTTCAAACTGGTTGGCCGATCTGGCAACCCTATGGCTGTCCTACGCTGTCCGCAACTCCTTGCTGTAAGCACCTCTGCTCGATCAGCTGATCCGTGAATATAAATCGAGGCAAGTGAAGCGATTTGAGTGAAAGTTGTTTTTATTTTTCCTACCACCAACACGATGGATGGAGAAATGCGCCAAAACCAACGATCACCCCCCCCGGGCCTATCTGCTCGTCTGCGTTTGCCCCTGCAACCAACTGGGAAGTCTCCGCCGCCAGCCAACATGCGCAGTGAGTACGGGACGCTGAAACGTGTGTGCTTGTGTGTCTGTGTGTCTGTGTGTGTGAGTCTTAGGCCTAGAAATTACAAACAAATCAGAATTCAGATAGTGTGTATGTGTGCATGCATATATCCTGGCCATTGTGCGATATCTTTGTTTCATTTGGTTTGCCACGGCCCCTTAAACCGTCTCCAGCGCACGGACATCCTTCTGAACGACATAGAACTTGTGCTTCTTGCCCACCAATCCCCAAATGACGGCCACATTCTCGATAACGACATTGACGGGAATCGTACAGACGGCGCCTAGCACACAGGCCAGAAACCGAAACAGTCCGAAGCGGTACAGCGAAAAGGATTTGATCACCCCAAACACATACATATAGATGTTAATGGCCGCAATGAAGGCGCACACAAAGTCCACCAGATTGGGACAGGGTATCGGATAGAGGCCGGCAAAGATAATGTTCGATGTGGAGAGCGGCATGGTGACCCACGAGTAAACACTGATGCCCAGCAGCAGCTTGTGCCGAAAGGGTATCATCTTGGAGTGGACCACCAGCAGGATGCCCTGGAGCCAGCGCTTGCGTTGCTGCAGGAAATCAAGCAGCGTGAACGGCGACTTCTCGTACATTTCACCCTCAATGAAGTTGAACGTATAGCCCTGGCTGAAGGCGCGCATGGCAAAGAAACAGTCCTCGGCCACCGAGCCATCGATGCCGTTGTCAAAGGAGACGGATCGCTCGGCACCGACCTGGCGAACAAAAGAGATACAAGATGAATGTAATGGGCATGTGAATCTTCACTGACTTAGAGGCACACTCACCTGGGTGACCACATAGCTGCCCTTCCAGCTGAAGAGGGGCTTGTGGAAGAGCTTAAACTGCAGCCGTAACTTGCCCATGTCATCGGCCGGGAAAAATACAAGCGTCGCATACGCGACACAAAATTTGCACAATCACAGTCGGCTATACATATACTGTAGTTAATACTCGGGCTTTCGGTGTTTCGGTGTGTTTTTTTTTTGTGCTCCGACTATTAGTTTTTGTTTTATTATTTGTTTAGAGACTTGCAAATTTCTTTACCGAGATCCAATTTACAATACCTGTCGGGAATCCGGTCAACAAGGTAAGAAGTCCCCCCAAAATGGCGAAGGGTACGAGTACTAACTGCTCTGGTCTGCTCTCTGCCGCAGATGGCCAGCGAGGATACCAGCACAGTGGCAGTGGCATTGCGCGTGCGTCCCCTCGTCAAATCGGAGGTGGAAAGCGGCTGCCGCATTGCACTCGAGCGCTCGGCGAATGGTTCCCCCCAAGTGTCGATCAATCGCGGCGAGTGCTTCACATACAACCATGTCTTCGACAGCAACGACACCCAGAAAGATCTTTTTGAGGCATGTGTCCAGGGAAAGCTGAAGAAGCTCCTCGATGGCTATAATGTGACCATCATAGCGTACGGCCAGACTGGCTCTGGCAAAACATACACCATGGGCACGGCTTTCAACGGTGTCCTCGATAATGATGTTGGCGTCATTCCGCGGGCCGTCGACGATATATTCGGACACATTGCCGATCTGAACGAAGAATACAATTTCAAAGTGACTTGCTCTTTTGTTGAATTGTATCAAGAACAGTTTTATGATTTGTTTTCGTCGAACAAGCCCGAAAAAGTTGCCGTGGAATTACGAGAGATACAGAATCGGATTGTGTTGCCTGGCCTCACCGAATTAGATGTAAAATCCTCTCATGACGCTACCGATTATCTGATGCGCGGTTCCGCCGTTCGGGCAGTGGCAGCCACTGCTATGAACGAAGTATCATCCCGTTCGCATGCAATTTTTACACTTACCGTGGTTTCCAGCGAGCTGAAAGGCGGGTAAGTGTCCACAGAAAATCACAGAATCCTGTGGAATTACATTCTCGCATTCATCTCTTGTGATCTTTAGGATGGCGGTGACCACCTCCAAGTTTACCCTTGTGGATCTCGCTGGGTCTGAACGCTGCTCAAAGACACTGGCCACGGGGGATCGCTTCAGGGAGGGGGTCAACATCAACAAAGGCCTGCTGGCCCTCGGAAATGTGATAAGCGCATTGGGCTGTAGGTTTTGCCGCTTATCAAAAGCCAAACCCTTTCTCATTTTGTGTCCATTTTACAGCCGGACAAGTTTCTGGTTATATACCATACCGCCAGTCGAAGCTGACGCGCCTGCTCCAGGACTCGCTGGGCGGCAATTCCATCACATTGATGATTGCCTGCGTCAGTCCGGCTGACTACAATGTGTCTGAGACGCTGAGCACCCTTCGCTATGCAGATCGTGCGCTTCAGATCAAGAACAAGCCCGTGGTCAATATGGATCCGCATACGGTCGAGGTCAATAAGCTCAAGGACATCATACAGAAGCTGCGCGTGGAGCTGCTGGCCGCCGGCAAGATGAGCAGCTCCATTAATTGTGCTGTGTGTGCGGCCGGACTCGATCCGCTGCCAAGTGGCGCTGATGGTACATCAGCATCCTGTACGGCTGCTGCTGACCAACAGGGTCTAAAGGATTTGGTAAAGACGCTGCAGGAGAAGACCCGTAAGCTACAGCAGGAGCTGCACCAGGCTCTGATCGATCTCACAGAGAAGGAGATGCGGGCCCACATTGCAGAAGCAGCCCACGATAAGCTCAAGGCGTACGTTATCCAGTTAAAGAGCAAGCTGCAGGCACAGCTGGCAGAGGGTGCCGAGCCATCGGAACCAACCGATCAGATGCGAGAGATCAGTCAGCTGGTGGATCAGGTCGACGAGGAGCTGCAGCGCACCGAGGAAGAGCTGCAGACGCACGGCCACGAATCGATATCGAGCAACAGAACAAATGGCGATGGTGAGGGCGACGCCATGGGCGAGGAGGCCCACGAGCTGCTCAATTCCCAGTCGGAGGACTACACCAAAAAGCAGCTGGGTCTGGTCGGCGAACTGCGCACCATCAACCGCCAGCTGGACCTCAAGCAGGAGCTGCACGAGCGCATCTGTCGCAACTTCAGCAAGCTGGACGATGACGATGACGAGAAGGTGAAGCAATGCAACCAGAAGATCGACGAGCTGGAGTGCGAGCGGCGCGACCTGATCGACCAGCTGCGTACCATCAAGAGCAAGGATACCTCGGCCCGGATTGCCGAAGAGCGTCGCAAGCGGCTGAAGCTGCTGGAGCTACAGATCGCCGAACTGCAGCGGAAACTCATCACACAGGCCAATATGCTGAAGATGCGCGAAAAGGAGCGGGAGAAGATCAACAATTTGAGCGCCGAAATACGGGCCATGAAGGAGTCCAAGGTGAAGCTCATCCGTACGATGCGGGGCGAGTCAGAGAAGTTCCGCCAATGGCGAACAGTGCGCGAGAAGGAGCTCACCCAGCTGAAGAGCAAGGACCGTAAAATGCAGAGCGAAATGGTGCGTCAGCAGACCCTGCACACCAAGCAGCGGCAGGTGCTGAAGCGCAAATGTGAGGAGGCCCTGGCCGCCAATAAGCGGCTGAAGGACGCCCTCGATCGCCCGGCATCGGCACAGCGTCAGCGCCATGCCAAGGATCCCACGGGTGGTGCCAAGACAGACTCCTGGGTGGAACGCGAACTGGAGGTCATCCTCTCAGTGATCGATGCCGAGCACAGTCTCGAACAGCTCATGGAGGACCGGGCGATCATTAATAGCCACTACAATCAAGTGAAATCTGGTGGGGATCCCAAACAGCTGGCCATGATCGAGGAGGAGCTGGAGATGCGCAACGCCCAGATAGCTGATCTCCAACAGAAGGTCTGCTTCAGCGATTTGGACAGCCGCAGCAAGGCCCTCGCCGAGAGCGTCCAGAGCATCAACGAATCGCGTGCCGTTAGTAAGCAGCTGCTGAAGAGCCTCGTCCAGCAGCGGCGCCAGCAGGCGCACAACATTTTCGAGCAGCGTAACGCCATGGAAGAACAGCGCTGCCAGCTGCTGGAGACCCAGCAGCGGCACGAGGCTCTGGCCAAGCGGCTGCGCCAGGTCGAGGCCAACCACGAGGAACAAATGCTCGCCCAGCAGCGTGCCTACGAGGAGAAGGTGGCTGTCCTATTGCGCACGGCGGCCACGCAGCAGCCCGCAGGCGAATCGCACCAAGAGATTATCGAGGAGCTGTTGAGCAGCCGCGAAGCCCTTCAGCAACAGGTCGATCGTCTGAAGTCGAGCAAGGAAAAGACACACACAAAAGAAAAACAAGCTAAGGCGGCCCCATCCCGCGATAATCACAATGAGAGCGTTGAGTTCCTCTCTGAAAGCATTGATATTATGAGCGATGCCAGCGATGACGACCCCGAATGGATCCCCAGCACCAAACGACGTTCCAAGGTGAGTAGAGTACTTCAGTCTAGCACAACAGGGCAATGCCAAACGTAATTAATCACCTCACCGCAGATGTCTACGCAGTCGGTCAACGACAAAACCGAACGTGCCACCTCACAGGCCCAGGAGACATCAATGCCGACCGGCGAACAGCAGCAGGCCCTCGGCGCAAACAGTGACATCAATGGGTCGGTCAATTCCCAGCACTCCACCTCGGCCACGGAGCTCGGAGAGGGGGGTCGCCACTCGATATCGAAAAAGTGCAAGTGCCGCACCAAATGCAATACGAAACGCTGCGCCTGCTTCTCCTCCAGCAACGGCTGTGGCGACAACTGCGGCTGCAAGGGCTCTTGCATGAATCCACTGAACCGCAACGCGAAGCCGCAGCCAACAAATTCACCCAAGGCTGATATCCTCGACATCAAGGAGGAGCCGCTGGAGGAACAGAAGCAGCAGGATGATAAGATGGTGGGCGAGAACTCTACATTTGCCTCACCAGAGCCAGCATTCGGCTCTGAGTCTGCGCCCACTTCCAACGTCCTATCGCCTGCCAAGCGATCCATCGATCAGAATGCTGCTCCAGCACACCTAGGCAGAGCCACTTCCACCGAAGAATTCAGCGCCCCCAAGCTAGCCAGGTCAGAAGCAGACCCCTACTCCCCAATACGCCGACACAGCATCTGAAAAATGTTCAATTCTTAAATAAAACCAATTTCGACGCTTTTTCTCTTCTTTCAGAATGTCTGGACTGGCATTCTCCACGCCACGACGTAAATTCTTCTAGGTAGAAAGGAAAACACTGCCTGTCACTGTCATCCTTCAGATCCCGACACGACACAACGCGCGATCTACGTTGATGATTTTACAATCTCTACAGTCTAGACTTATTTTTGTTTTTACGTTTACATTTACGATTACTATACGATTAAGGGTTGGGTGTCACTGTTCTGCTACGTTCCAAATAATATTCGCAGACCAGAAAGTCGCGACCGAATCACGGCTAAACCGGGGACTCTTTTTTTCATCCATTGTACCTTCCTTGGAGGCCCATCAGCAATGGGTATCCCAGGCTTCCGTCATCAAGGGATCCATAGCTAGACAATTTCTTTTCTCTTTGATTTTTTCTGGATCACAGAGCTGCAGCCAGAGGGCACTCGACGTCGACGCTCCACAGATATTTCGGGATAACAGCGACCTCTAAAGCGGTCTCCTCCACCTCCGCCTTTTTGGAGAATGTTTTTTCACTTGCGGGGACAGGCATTACCCGCATCCGAGCCTTCATTCATAATAATAACGATAAAAACTCGCATATATTTCTACATTTTATTGTTTTTTTTTTTTGTATTTGGTTCTTTTCTTTTTTTATAACAGTTTCAATGTGTGTGTGTGTGTGTGTGTGTGTGTGTATGTGTGTGTGTCTGTGTGTTGGGGGGAGGGTGGATGGTGGGTGGTTTAACAGAAGGCCGACGAAAAGGGAGATGCATGTGTGTGTGTGCAAGGGGGGAAGTGCCTTTTGCATTTGAACGGAAATTCGAAATTCGACGGGCCATATATCACAGCGGTGATTGAAGCCTTCGCTTGTGACTCTCCGTTCGAGAATCATTCACCGCTGTATCACTCGAACCATCCACCATCGTGGGGTTTCATGGGAAGGCTAGGGATGGGTAGGGATGGGTAGGGATCATGTGATAATGAATGGATGCGGGATGAAGGAATAAATACGAAAAGTGTACAACCGACTCTCCTCTCTCGGTCTGGGTTCGGAGGTTCCACGGGGCATTGTGGGCGTGTGGACTGAATGACATATAGTTCAAACAACTCACAACATATAATACACACACATGTACATATGTACGTGTATGTATATATGTAAGTACATAAGTCTAACATCCAATGCTTCGGATATTGTGCTCTGTTTCTTCAGTTTCTTCATTTCATCCATTTTCCATTTCCATTGGTTTTTGGTGTGTGAATCGGACATTTAACAGCTGTCTGCTCCAATTCTAGTTTTCTTCAATTTACAATACATTAATGTACACATTTTAAATAATAATAATGATAGTAATAATAATAATAATGCTACGTAATATAGTACATATGATATTTACTATATAGTATATATAAATATAGCGCTTTTCTTCACTACGGACTATCAAAAAAAAAAAAAAAAGAAAAGAAAAACAGAATCCAAAGAGTAAAGAACGTACGGAAATTACACTTAATGGAGGAGTGGGTTTTTGTTTTTTCTCGGTTTTCCTTTTTTTTTTTGGCGCTGGCTGTTGCTTGAGTGCGTGGTGCATATTATAGATCTTGCATGTAGGCAATGTATCCTTGCGTCCAACATTTTGTTCTTGTAGTGGTTCGTGCGCGCCACCTTTTTTATACCCGATACTCAAAATGAGTATTGGGGTATATTAGATTTGTGGTAAAAGTGGATGTGTGTAACGTCCAGAAGGAATCGTTTCCGACCCTATAAAGTATATATATTCTTGATCAGCATCAATAGCCGAGTCGATTGAGCCCTGTCTGTCTGTCCGTCCGTCCGTCTGTCCGTCTGTCCGTCTGTCCGTCTGTCCGTCCCCTTCAGCGCCTAATGCTCAAAGACTATAAGAGCTAGAGCAACGATATTTTGGATCCAGACTTCTGTAATATGTCACTGCTCCAAAAATATTTCAAAACTTTGCCCCGCCCACTTCCGCCCCCACAAAGGGCGAAAATCTGTGGCATCCACAATTTTAAAGATACGAGAAAACTAAAAACGCAGAATCGTAGAGAATGACCATATCTATTAGACTGCAGAATCTGAATTCGATCGTATTATTATTATAGCCAGCATCAAGAAAACAATTTCATTTTTTCTCGCCCTGTCTCTCTCTAACACACAGGTAGCATAGGCGGCTTTGCTTAGAGTAAAACATTAGCGCCTAGATCTCAGAGACTATAAAAGCTAGAGCAGCCAAATTTGGTATCCACACTCCTAATATATCGGACCGAGACGAGTTTGTTTCAAAATTTCGCCACACCCCCTTCCGCCCCCGCAAAGGATGCAAATCTGGGGATATTCACAAATCTCAGAGACTATTAAAGCTAGAGTAACCAAATCTGGTATCCGCACTTCTGTTAGATCTCACTATAAAACCTTTATCTCAAAATTTCGCCCCACCCCCTTCCGCCCCCACAAAGGACGAAAATCTGTTGCATCCACAATATTGCAGATTTGAGAAAACTAAAAACGCAGAATCATAGATAACGACCATATCTATCAGATTGCTGAATCTGGATCAGATCAGATCATTTTTATAGCCAAAGGAAACAAATCAATTTGCAGTGGCTACGCAGCGCGTGACGTCACGCTCAGACTGATTTTCTGTCTCTCTCGCACGCTCTCTTTGTCGTGTCGTTTAATATTAGCGGCGTCTGCCGGAGGAGAGCCATACTGACTTAGTATCGGGTATAACTGTAGAGTTGCGGTGTCCGCAGCAACTCACAACGTTCCCCCTCGTTTTTGTAGATTTCGTGCGATGCGTATACGATGCGATGCGATGCGATGCGATGCGTTGGGATGAATGAGGAATGGTGTGATTGGATTTATAACGAAACAACAATCAATATATATATATATATATATATGCATATACATAGGTTCGTGTGTGTGTGTGTGTGCTTGTGTTTTTTTATTTTTTTTTATTCTGTATTAACTCTTAATTTTATTAAATTTTATAAGCCTGGGACTTAACTAAAGCTAGACAGGGAGCTGTATTGAGTTGGAAAGACCGGCAGGAAGTTCCGGGTCTCTGCGGGACGGCCGCAAAGCATTGCTTCGCAGGGACCATGGTTCCTCCTAGCCACTCTCGTTCCTTCGGCGCTCGCACCTACGCAGCTCCTTCATGGCGCCGGCTGCAAAGTTGCTCCAGGCCGACCATACCATGGGGTCTTCCACAATCGCCTCGATCAGGTTGTTCGGCGTGAGCTGCCCGCCGGCGGCTCGCCACAACTCCTCCCTAATAAGTGAGAAGCGCCCACATTGAAAAATTATGTGCTCGGCGTCTTCAGTGGCGTCGCCGCACCACGAGCAGTTCGGCGAGTCCTCGTGGCCGAACCTCCAAAGGTAATGGCTGAAGCAGCCGTGTCCGCTCAGAAGCTGTGTGGAATGGAAATTGACCACACCGTGTCGCCTGCCGATCCAATATCGGACATCCGGAATCAGGCGGTGTGTCCACCGTCCTTTATCGGAGCCGTCCCAGCGGCTTTGCCATGCTCTGAGGCTTCCTTCACGGGCCTGCTTGCGCGCGTCTCTCCTTGCCGCGCCGGCCCGGATGGCTTCGGCAACGGCCCTCTCCTCAAGAACCAGAAGGTCAATTGGAAGGACACCCGCCAGGACTAGGGCAGCGTCGTCGGATATGGTCCGAAAGCCGCAGCAGATCCGGAGCGCGCAGAGGCGATGAGTGGCTTTTACGCCCCTAGCGTAGCTGGCAACTTTAATTCCATCCGCCCATACGTCTGCTGCGTAGGTCATGGCTGAGCGGACTACACTGGTCAGCAGAATCCTCCTCTCCTGCTTCGGGCCACGGGTGTTCAGCAGTATTCGGAACAGCGCCCGACTCGTGTTTGCCGCTTTCTCCTGGACGTAGCATAGGTGTTCACGGAAACTGAGCCTGGTGTCGATCATCACGCCCAGATACCGAATGGCTCGTTTCGACGATAGTCTCTGGTCGCCAACCCTGATGTGAGCGGTCTCCACAGTCGAACGGGTGCTCACCAATACTGCCTCGGTTTTATGAGCGGCTAGCTCTAGTCTCAGCTGGATTGCGGTGTCACAATTTGCTTCGACGACGTCCAGGTGCTTGGCCACCACCGTCAGGGCGACATCATCTGCGTAGCAGGTTAGCTGACATCCGCCTGGAAGAGCTAATCTCATGACTCCATCGTAGGCAATGTTCCATAATAGGGGACCCATCACTGATCCTTGGGGAACGCCTGCCGTTATGCCGTGAGTCTGCGCGCCGGCCTCCGTATTATACTCCAGCAGTCTCCCCTCAAAGTAGCTCCTTACGATTGCCTGAAGGTATTGGGGTACACCGCGCCGGTTAAGTGAATGCAGGATGCACTCCCACTTCACCGTATTGAAGGCGTTCCTGATGTCTAGGGTGACAGGCAGTATTCCTTCTTGCCGCCCTTCCATCGAGTTCCCTCCACTGCCTTGGAGGCTATGTCAACTACTCTGCCTATGGCGTCCACCGTTGACCTCCCACTCCTGAAGCCGTATTGGTTTGGTGAAAGTCCCCCAGCATCCTCGACGACGTTGTCCAGTCTTCTACGGATTATCTGTTCCAGAGTCTTCCCCAGCGAGTCGATTAAGCAAATCGGTCGAAACGAGGAGGGATCGTCCGGCGGCTTTCCTGGCTTTGGCAAGAGCACCAGGTGTTGCAACTTCCACTGCGGCGGAAATAGTCCTTCCCGCAGGCACTGCGTGAATGCCTTAGCAAACTCGTGCGGGTTGTGTGCCATCGCCAGTTTTACCGCACGGTTGGGGATTCCATCAGGGCCTGGAGCCTTCTTGGCCTTTAAGCTTTGGGCCAGGGCGACGATTTCGTCCTCCGTAACCGGTTCGACCGAATATGCAGGCTGGTGTGCGTCGGCACTGATGGCAAGACCGTGAGTCCCGGATGGGAACAATGCCTCAACAATCGTCCGCAACTGGTCTGGGTCAGACGGCGACCCCGCGTTGCTGCCATGAATTCGCTTCATTACCGTCTTGTAGGCACGTCCCCACGGATCCTTCTCGGCTGAGTCGCAAAGCTGCAGGAAGCACTCCCTCTTGCTCTCCTTGATGGCGGTCTTTAGGGCTTTTCTAGCTCCGCAGTACTCCGCCTGTAGCCTTGGCCAGCTAGTGCCACTCCTTCTGCGAGCCCGTTGATATCGCCTTCTAGCTGACAGGCAAGTGCGTCTGGCCTCCTGGATCTCGTCATTCCACCAATAGGTCGGCGATTGCTTACCCTTGAATGGCCTCTTGCGACTCATACTGGCATCGCATGCGAGCAGTAGGGACTCCAGTAGCTGGTTGACCATCTGTTGAGCTGAGCCTCCGACCTCCATATTCCTCAGCGCCTCCAAGAACCTTGGAATCCGCATTGATTCGGGATTGTAGGCTGCTCTCCGGCTTGTCTGCGTTGCCCTGGTCAGTCTGCAACCACCTTCTCCGCCTATCGAGAACACCACTGCCTCGTGGTCGCTGGCCGTATAGTGGTTCCCCAGGCGCCAGGTGGACAGAGGGGAAAGGCTACTAGAGGCGAATGTAAGGTCGATGACTGACCCAGAGCCACCCCTGTTGAAGGTATTCGCGGTCCCCCGATTCAGCAATGCTACGTCCAACGCAGCGAAGGCCTCAAGCAGTGCGTGGAAGCGGAAGCACCACCCGCTTCTGTCTACAGAGCTTTTGCAATTAAGTGCAACGTGGCCGATCTCAAGACACCTGAAGCACTTTAACGGCAGATTTCGCTCCCGTATGAGGCAGACGGACCATGCCACTTTAACCTTACCAACGGATAGCGCCTTCGTCGCAAGGGTCGCCGGCAGGCAAATAATAGCCCGCTGGGTACCACCAAAGCCTGGGCGCAAACTCTTAATGGCGTCCACATCGAGTGTAATCCCCATTTGATCGCTGAAGGCCTTCCTCACGTCCTCCGAGGTAGCCATCTCATCCAAGTCGAGCATCTCTAGCCTCGTCTGCTGGGTGAGTGCTCGCGCCTCCGCCTTGCCTCCTAGGACAGTGCCTATATCCTCGCGAAGCAGCTGCGCGGTCTCCTTCGAGGCGTCTTTGAGCTCCAATAGAAGAGCACCTTTGGCTGTTCGCTTCACTCTGCTCACACTCTCGCCTACCTTCTTCATCTTCTCGCTCTGGTTGCGGGTGACGAGGTTAAGGATCTCCGCGTAAGTCATTTCCCCTTTTGGCTCGATGATAATAACATCCGGACGGGGCCTTGGCTTCCGGGCGTGCGCTCTGCTCTTCACCTTCTCCCATTCACCTTCGGTAGGTGCAGCTGATTCGGTCTTCCTTGCCGGTTGCTCGTGGGACTGCAACGTGGGATGGCCACTCATATTGTTTCTCCGCTTCGGCGAGCTCCTCGTCGGCTTGTCCAGCTTCCTTTTCGGCGCATCGTGTTGAGGGGAGCACTGCGTCTCCTGATCACGCCGCTCCACCCTCTCCTTCCTCTGAAACTTCGCGTCGAAGCTGTGAAGCGCGGACTTCTGCATCCTCACCACGTTCTGCGCCAACTCTTTCATCTCTTTGTTGAGATAACGGGCGTCCCTCAGCATCTTCGACAATTCCGTCGACTTTTCTACCAGCGAAGCCAGGATCGCCCGCAGATCTCCTTCGGCCTTTGGTCCTGTGCCGCTTTTGTCTGTGGAAGCACTGCTGAAGTCAAAGGGATTGACAGGGACTTCTGCTGGTGCAGACACAGTCAGTGCTGGCAGCACTCTAAGGGGCGCCTTAAGTGGAGTTCCGGTACCAAGGCTTAGCTGGGCCGGCTTCTCAACTGCCTGCTCCCTGGGCCAAATGCCTCGGGGCGTCTGCCACTGTGGTGGGGAACGCTGCAGGCTAGTTCTCCTCTCAAAGACCCGCTTTTCCTCCTCCTCCATTCTTCCTGTTTGTAATTGCCAAATACTCGATTTGAAATTTGAAATTTAAAATTTAAAATTTGGGGCCCGCGCGATTTTCCGGTTGGCGCTCAACTTTCAAACTGGTTGGCCGATCTGGCAACCCTATGGCTGTCCTACGCTGTCCGCAACTCCTTGCTGTAAGCACCTCTGCTCGATCAGCTGATCCGTGAATATAAATCGAGGCAAGTGAAGCGATTTGAGTGAAAGTTGTTTTTATTTTTCCTACCACCAACACGATGGATAGAGAAATGCGCCAAAACCAACGATCACCCCCCCCGGGCCTATCTGCTCGTCTGCGTTTGCCCCTGCAACCAACTGGGAAGTCTCCGCCGCCAGCCACCATGCGCAGTGAGTACGGGACGCTGAAACGTGTGTGTTTGTGTGTCTGTGTGTGTGAGTCTTAGGCCTAGAAATTACAAACAAATCAGAATTCAGATAGTGTGTATGTGTGCATGCATATATCCTGGCCATTGTGCGATATCTTTGTTTCATTTGGTTTGCCACGGCCCCTTAAACCGTCTCCAGCGCACGGACATCCTTCTGAACGACATAGAACTTGTGCTTCTTGCCCACCAATCCCCAAATGACGGCCACATTCTCGATAACGACATTGACGGGAATCGTACAGACGGCGCCTAGCACACAGGCCAGAAACCGAAACAGTCCGAAGCGGTACAGCGAAAAGGATTTGATCACCCCAAACACATACATATAGATGTTGATGGCCGCAATGAAGGCGCACACAAAGTCCACCAGATTGGGACAGGGTATCGGATAGAGGCCGGCAAAGATAATGTTCGATGTGGAGAGCGGCATGGTGACCCACGAGTAAACACTGATGCCCAGCAGCAGCTTGTGCCGAAAGGGTATCATCTTGGAGTGGACCACCAGCAGGATGCCCTGGAGCCAGCGCTTGCGTTGCTGCAGGAAATCAAGCAGCGTGAACGGCGACTTCTCGTACATTTCACCCTCAATGAAGTTGAACGTATAGCCCTGGCTGAAGGCGCGCATGGCAAAGAAACAGTCCTCGGCCACCGAGCCATCGATGCCGTTGTCAAAGGAGACGGATCGCTCGGCACCGACCTGGCGAACAAAAGAGATACAAGATGAATGTAATGGGCATGTGAATCTTCACTGACTTAGAGGCACACTCACCTGGGTGACCACATAGCTGCCCTTCCAGCTGAAGAGGGGCTTGTGGAAGAGCTTAAACTGCAGCCGTAACTTGCCCATGTCATCGGCCGGGAAAAATACAAGCGTCGCATACGCGACACAAAATTTGCACAATCACAGTCGGCTATACATATACTGTAGTTAATACTCGGGCTTTCGGTGTTTCGGTGTGTTTTTTTTTTGTGCTCCGACTATTAGTTTTTGTTTTATTATTTGTTTAGAGACTTGCAAATTTCTTTACCGAGATCCAATTTACAATACCTGTCGGGAATCCGGTCAACAAGGTAAGAAGTCCCCCCAAAATGGCGAAGGGTACGAGTACTAACTGCTCTGGTCTGCTCTCTGCCGCAGATGGCCAGCGAGGATACCAGCACAGTGGCAGTGGCATTGCGCGTGCGTCCCCTCGTCAAATCGGAGGTGGAAAGCGGCTGCCGCATTGCACTCGAGCGCTCGGCGAATGGTTCCCCCCAAGTGTCGATCAATCGCGGCGAGTGCTTCACATACAACCATGTCTTCGACAGCAACGACACCCAGAAAGATCTTTTTGAGGCATGTGTCCAGGGAAAGCTGAAGAAGCTCCTCGATGGCTATAATGTGACCATCATAGCGTACGGCCAGACTGGCTCTGGCAAAACATACACCATGGGCACGGCTTTCAACGGTGTCCTCGATAATGATGTTGGCGTCATTCCGCGGGCCGTCGACGATATATTCGGACACATTGCCGATCTGAACGAAGAATACAATTTCAAAGTGACTTGCTCTTTTGTTGAATTGTATCAAGAACAGTTTTATGATTTGTTTTCGTCGAACAAGCCCGAAAAAGCCGCCGTGGAATTACGAGAGATACAGAATCGGATTGTGTTGCCTGGCCTCACCGAATTAGATGTAAAATCCTCTCATGACGCTACCGATTATCTGATGCGCGGTTCCGCCGTTCGGGCAGTGGCAGCCACTGCTATGAACGAAGTATCATCCCGTTCGCATGCAATTTTTACACTTACCGTGGTTTCCAGCGAGCTGAAAGGCGGGTAAGTGTCCACAGAAAATCACAGAATCCTGTGGAATTACATTCTCGCATTCATCTCTTGTGATCTTTAGGATGGCGGTGACCACCTCCAAGTTTACCCTTGTGGATCTCGCTGGGTCTGAACGCTGCTCAAAGACACTGGCCACGGGGGATCGCTTCAGGGAGGGGGTCAACATCAACAAAGGCCTGCTGGCCCTCGGAAATGTGATAAGCGCATTGGGCTGTAGGTTTTGCCGCTTATCAAAAGCCAAACCCTTTCTCATTTTGTGTCCATTTTACAGCCGGACAAGTTTCTGGTTATATACCATACCGCCAGTCGAAGCTGACGCGCCTGCTCCAGGACTCGCTGGGCGGCAATTCCATCACATTGATGATTGCCTGCGTCAGTCCGGCTGACTACAATGTGTCTGAGACGCTGAGCACCCTTCGCTATGCAGATCGTGCGCTTCAGATCAAGAACAAGCCCGTGGTCAATATGGATCCGCATACGGTCGAGGTCAATAAGCTCAAGGACATCATACAGAAGCTGCGCGTGGAGCTGCTGGCCGCCGGCAAGATGAGCAGCTCCATTAATTGTGCTGTGTGTGCGGCCGGACTCGATCCGCTGCCAAGTGGCGCTGATGGTACATCAGCATCCTGTACGGCTGCTGCTGACCAACAGGGTCTAAAGGATTTGGTAAAGACGCTGCAGGAGAAGACCCGTAAGCTACAGCAGGAGCTGCACCAGGCTCTGATCGATCTCACAGAGAAGGAGATGCGGGCCCACATTGCAGAAGCAGCCCACGATAAGCTCAAGGCGTACGTTATCCAGTTAAAGAGCAAGCTGCAGGCACAGCTGGCAGAGGGTGCCGAGCCATCGGAACCAACCGATCAGATGCGAGAAATCAGTCAGCTGGTGGATCAGGTCGACGAGGAGCTGCAGCGCACCGAGGAAGAGCTGCAGACGCACGGCCACGAATCGATATCGAGCAACAGAACAAATGGCGATGGTGAGGGCGACGCCATGGGCGAGGAGGCCCACGAGCTGCTCAATTCCCAGTCGGAGGACTACACCAAAAAGCAGCTGGGTCTGGTCGGCGAACTGCGCACCATCAACCGCCAGCTGGACCTCAAGCAGGAGCTGCACGAGCGCATCTGTCGCAACTTCAGCAAGCTGGACGATGACGATGACGAGAAGGTGAAGCAATGCAACCAGAAGATCGACGAGCTGGAGTGCGAGCGGCGCGACCTGATCGACCAGCTGCGTACCATCAAGAGCAAGGATACCTCGGCCCGGATTGCCGAAGAGCGTCGCAAGCGGCTGAAGCTGCTGGAGCTACAGATCGCCGAACTGCAGCGGAAACTCATCACACAGGCCAATATGCTGAAGATGCGCGAAAAGGAGCGGGAGAAGATCAACAATTTGAGCGCCGAAATACGGGCCATGAAGGAGTCCAAGGTGAAGCTCATCCGTACGATGCGGGGCGAGTCAGAGAAGTTCCGCCAATGGCGAACAGTGCGCGAGAAGGAGCTCACCCAGCTGAAGAGCAAGGACCGTAAAATGCAGAGCGAAATGGTGCGTCAGCAGACCCTGCACACCAAGCAGCGGCAGGTGCTGAAGCGCAAATGTGAGGAGGCCCTGGCCGCCAATAAGCGGCTGAAGGACGCCCTCGATCGCCCGGCATCGGCACAGCGTCAGCGCCATGCCAAGGATCCCACGGGTGGTGCCAAGACAGACTCCTGGGTGGAACGCGAACTGGAGGTCATCCTCTCAGTGATCGATGCCGAGCACAGTCTCGAACAGCTCATGGAGGACCGGGCGATCATTAATAGCCACTACAATCAAGTGAAATCTGGTGGGGATCCCAAACAGCTGGCCATGATCGAGGAGGAGCTGGAGATGCGCAACGCCCAGATAGCTGATCTCCAACAGAAGGTCTGCTTCAGCGATTTGGACAGCCGCAGCAAGGCCCTCGCCGAGAGCGTCCAGAGCATCAACGAATCGCGTGCCGTTAGTAAGCAGCTGCTGAAGAGCCTCGTCCAGCAGCGGCGCCAGCAGGCGCACAACATTTTCGAGCAGCGTATCGCCATGGAAGAACAGCGCTGCCAGCTGCTGGAGACCCAGCAGCGGCACGAGGCTCTGGCCAAGCGGCTGCGCCAGGTCGAGGCCAACCACGAGGAACAAATGCTCGCCCAGCAGCGTGCCTACGAGGAGAAGGTGGCTGTCCTATTGCGCACGGCGGCCACGCAGCAGCCCGCAGGCGAATCGCACCAAGAGATTATCGAGGAGCTGTTGAGCAGCCGCGAAGCCCTTCAGCAACAGGTCGATCGTCTGAAGTCGAGCAAGGAAAAGACACACACAAAAGAAAAACAAGCTAAGGCGGCCCCATCCCGCGATAATCACAATGAGAGCGTTGAGTTCCTCTCTGAAAGCATTGATATTATGAGCGATGCCAGCGATGACGACCCCGAATGGATCCCCAGCACCAAACGACGTTCCAAGGTGAGTAGAGTACTTCAGTCTAGCACAACAGGGCAATGCCAAACGTAATTAATCACCTCACCGCAGATGTCTACGCAGTCGGTCAACGACAAAACCGAACGTGCCACCTCACAGGCCCAGGAGACATCAATGCCGACCGGCGAACAGCAGCAGGCCCTCGGCGCAAACAGTGACATCAATGGGTCGGTCAATTCCCAGCACTCCACCTCGGCCACGGAGCTCGGAGAGGGGGGTCGCCACTCGATATCGAAAAAGTGCAAGTGCCGCACCAAATGCAATACGAAACGCTGCGCCTGCTTCTCCTCCAGCAACGGCTGTGGCGACAACTGCGGCTGCAAGGGCTCTTGCATGAATCCACTGAACCGCAACGCGAAGCCGCAGCCAACAAATTCACCCAAGGCTGATATCCTCGACATCAAGGAGGAGCCGCTGGAGGAACAGAAGCAGCAGGATGATAAGATGGTGGGCGAGAACTCTACATTTGCCTCACCAGAGCCAGCATTCGGCTCTGAGTCTGCGCCCACTTCCAACGTCCTATCGCCTGCCAAGCGATCCATCGATCAGAATGCTGCTCCAGCACACCTAGGCAGAGCCACTTCCACCGAAGAATTCAGCGCCCCCAAGCTAGCCAGGTCAGAAGCAGACCCCTACTCCCCAATACGCCGACACAGCATCTGAAAAATGTTCAATTCTTAAATAAAACCAATTTCGACGCTTTTTCTCTTCTTTCAGAATGTCTGGACTGGCATTCTCCACGCCACGACGTAAATTCTTCTAGGTAGAAAGGAAAACACTGCCTGTCACTGTCATCCTTCAGATCCCGACACGACACAACGCGCGATCTACGTTGATGATTTTACAATCTCTACAGTCTAGACTTATTTTTGTTTTTACGTTTACATTTACGATTACTATACGATTAAGGGTTGGGTGTCACTGTTCTGCTACGTTCCAAATAATATTCGCAGACCAGAAAGTCGCGACCGAATCACGGCTAAACCGGGGACTCTTTTTTTCATCCATTGTACCTTCCTTGGAGGCCCATCAGCAATGGGTATCCCAGGCTTCCGTCATCAAGGGATCCATAGCTAGACAATTTCTTTTCTCTTTGATTTTTTCTGGATCACAGAGCTGCAGCCAGAGGGCACTCGACGTCGACGCTCCACAGATATTTCGGGATAACAGCGACCTCTAAAGCGGTCTCCTCCACCTCCGCCTTTTTGGAGAATGTTTTTTCACTTGCGGGGACAGGCATTACCCGCATCCGAGCCTTCATTCATAATAATAACGATAAAAACTCGCATATATTTCTACATTTTATTGTTTTTTTTTTTTGTATTTGGTTCTTTTCTTTTTTTATAACAGTTTCAATGTGTGTGTGTGTGTGTGTGTGTGTGTGTATGTGTGTGTGTCTGTGTGTTGGGGGGAGGGTGGATGGTGGGTGGTTTAACAGAAGGCCGACGAAAAGGGAGATGCATGTGTGTGTGTGCAAGGGGGGAAGTGCCTTTTGCATTTGAACGGAAATTCGAAATTCGACGGGCCATATATCACAGCGGTGATTGAAGCCTTCGCTTGTGACTCTCCGTTCGAGAGTCATTCACCGCTGTATCACTCGAACCATCCACCATCGTGGGGTTTCATGGGAAGGCTAGGGATGGGTAGGGATGGGTAGGGATCATGTGATAATGAATGGATGCGGGATGAAGGAATAAATACGAAAAGTGTACAACCGACTCTCCTCTCTCGGTCTGGGTTCGGAGGTTCCACGGGGCATTGTGGGCGTGTGGACTGAATGACATATAGTTCAAACAACTCACAACATATAATACACACACATGTACATATGTACGTGTATGTATATATGTAAGTACATAAGTCTAACATCCAATGCTTCGGATATTGTGCTCTGTTTCTTCAGTTTCTTCATTTCATCCATTTTCCATTTCCATTGGTTTTTGGTGTGTGAATCGGACATTTAACAGCTGTCTGCTCCAATTCTAGTTTTCTTCAATTTACAATACATTAATGTACACATTTTAAATAATAATAATGATAGTAATAATAATAATAATGCTACGTAATATAGTACATATGATATTTACTATATAGTATATATAAATATAGCGCTTTTCTTCACTACGGACTATCAAAAAAAAAAAAAAAAGAAAAGAAAAACAGAATCCAAAGAGTAAAGAACGTACGGAAATTACACTTAATGGAGGAGTGGGTTTTTGTTTTTTCTCGGTTTTCCTTTTTTTTTTTGGGGCTGGCTGTTGCTTGAGTGCGTGGTGCATATTATAGATCTTGCATGTAGGCAATGTATCCTTGCGTCCAACATTTTGTTCTTGTAGTGGTTCGTGCGCGCCACCTTTTTTTTTTGTAGATTTCGTGCGATGCGTATACGATGCGATGCGTTGGGATGAATGAGGAATGGTGTGATTGGATTTATAACGAAACAACAATCAATATATATATATATATATATATATATATATATGCATATACATAGGTTCGTGTGTGTGTGTGTGTGTGTGTGTGCTTGTGTGTCTGTGTGTCTGTGTGTGTGAGTCTTAGGCCTAGAAATTACAAACAAATCAGAATTCAGATAGTGTGTATGTGTGCATGCATATATCCTGGCCATTGTGCGATATCTTTGTTTCATTTGGTTTGCCACGGCCCCTTAAACCGTCTCCAGCGCACGGACATCCTTCTGAACGACATAGAACTTGTGCTTCTTGCCCACCAATCCCCAAATGACGGCCACATTCTCGATAACGACATTGACGGGAATCGTACAGACGGCGCCTAGCACACAGGCCAGAAACCGAAACAGTCCGAAGCGGTACAGCGAAAAGGATTTGATCACCCCAAACACATACATATAGATGTTGATGGCCGCAATGAAGGCGCACACAAAGTCCACCAGATTGGGACAGGGTATCGGATAGAGGCCGGCAAAGATAATGTTCGATGTGGAGAGCGGCATGGTGACCCACGAGTAAACACTGATGCCCAGCAGCAGCTTGTGCCGAAAGGGTATCATCTTGGAGTGGACCACCAGCAGGATGCCCTGGAGCCAGCGCTTGCGTTGCTGCAGGAAATCAAGCAGCGTGAACGGCGACTTCTCGTACATTTCACCCTCAATGAAGTTGAACGTATAGCCCTGGCTGAAGGCGCGCATGGCAAAGAAACAGTCCTCGGCCACCGAGCCATCGATGCCGTTGTCAAAGGAGACGGATCGCTCGGCACCGACCTGGCGAACAAAAGAGATACAAGATGAATGTAATGGGCATGTGAATCTTCACTGACTTAGAGGCACACTCACCTGGGTGACCACATAGCTGCCCTTCCAGCTGAAGAGGGGCTTGTGGAAGAGCTTAAACTGCAGCCGTAACTTGCCCATGTCATCGGACACCCGAAAGCTGTCCGCCAGCGTTGTCAGCCAATTGACAACATTCTCATTGGCATAGGTGATCAGGCCCTGGCCGAATGGATGCTTGCCATCCAGCACGAAGTTGATAATGCCGCGCACCGAGTTCTCTGTGAGCAGTGTCTCCTCATCGAGATGGACGATCCAATCGTTGTCGTTCAGCACATTCACCGAATCCTCCAGGCAGTGCTGCAGGGCCCGCGACTTGAAGAGGGCCCCCGTGCGTGTTTTATACTCCTTGGGCACCACAATCTCTCGGATCCGCCGATGCTGGGCCAAGTGTACGGCCTTGTCGGTGACCACCTCGATGAGGAAGTTCTCCAGGCCGGTGTCCAGACAGGTGTTCATGTTCCGCAGGACGTTCGTTTTGACCAGATCGGGAAAATCGCCGCGCGTCACCACACGGATGCAGATGAAGGGGGCCAGCAGGGGGCTGCCCTTGAGGACAACCTTCTCGGGGAAGGCATTGTAGAAGACCAGGCCGCAGAAATTGAACAGCACCTGGGGCAGCGTGAGGAGGGTCAGGAAGCGGAGTAAGTACAGCAAAACGGTGGCCACATCTCCATACGCGGACCACGGATCGACCAGCGTAAATGAGTTCTCGTCGATCTTGATGCCGCCCGAGAATACTTCGAAGGTTAATATCACAGTGAAGAGCAGTGTGCAGTGCAGCAGATGTTTTGTGGTGGAGTTCATTCTGAAGGGGAGTCTAGGTATTGCGGAGTATAGATTGTAGATGGGTAGATAAGTTGTAGATTGTATTGGATGTGTCTTGGGATCCTCTAGCTATCTCCTCTCGTTGGTTTCACTCGCCAGCAGGCTTCTCGCTCCTTTCGATGGACCTGTTGGAGGATGTGAAGTGGGCGGTGGCTCTTCTCTTTATTGCTTGTCAGCGTGTTTGTTCTGTTCTTTAAGTAAGTGTTTTGTGCTTCCTTCTCCTTTAAGTAGACTTGTGCTTGCACCGGACGGGGGTGTATCGTGGTACTTTTCTTTATTCCAGAGTCTCTCCCTCTCTCTTTCTCTCTGTCTCTCTATCTCTATCTTTATCTCTTTTTTTGTTCGTTCGTTCGTTCGATCGTTCGTTCGTTTGATGACGCCTGATGACTATATGCTTGATGAATCAGAGAATATATATTAGTAATTCCTTTGTTTTTATTTTTGTTTCTGTCTGCCTCCGAGCGGAAGTTAACCCAGGCCCTGCGATCGCGTTGCGTTGCGCGGCTTGTTGTTTGCTGATAAGTTCTGGAGTTGCAGGAGCTCGCTCTCGCTCTCGCTCTTTGTCGCTCAGTTCTCAGCTATCAACTAGTGGATCTAATGGATCCTCTCGTTCTCAGCGCCGATACGTGGCCAGACGACATTGCTGCAAATGGGAAAACAAACGGTAAATTAGCATCTCTCGCCATCTCTCTTGCACGCTTTTCTGTTTTTCTGTCGAACCTGCCGATAGTTGGGGGAAAGGGGTGGGGGGCAGTACGAATTAATTGGCGCCAGTATTTGGTAACCCTAATTTTTTTAACCTCTTGAATGACCCTGAACCACATCCGCCACCATAGCCATCACATCACCCCATCCCACCCCATCCCTTTCCATTCCATTCCATCCCATCTATTCCCTCACCAACAGAACAGGCTTTTTTTCTGTTGAGGGGTCCGAAGCTCTAGATAACCTTACAGATCCATTGGAAATGTTAGAGAATGACCGATTATGGTACAGCAACCACATACATGGCGTGTGCATGACTTGAGTTTCGCTGATTGGTGGTTTTTCTTCGATCGAAAGGGATTTAAAGGTTTAAAAGTATACATTTATTAGCATTAGTTGAACTTTTTTTCCATTATTGTTACGATTATTAGATTCAATTAGAACTGTGTCTCTACCCCCGCACCCACGAAAAGAATATATTAATCATTCGCGTCGCACCGCACCGCATCGCGTGCCTGACAATCCATGAACTTATTGATCATATAACCTATGCATATGTATGTGCTCGCCACTGTCCAACTGGCCAGCCAGAAAGCAGAGTTTATTCCAGTTTATATTCAAACAGATTCCATCGAGAGAAGGGGCCATCATTTGAACAATTCCGAGAGTTCAAGAGCCAACGATTCGATTATAATTGTTGAAATATTTCCATCGTGACAGCATGGGGCGGCAGGGTCTAGTGGGTTGGCCACTGTCGGTAGATAGCGTCTAATGATCTACACGTAACAGCACAATCTCCGCACTAATTGCATATACAAATGAGATACATATGTAGGCAGCACTTTTACCTCTAGGGGAACCCTATCTGAATCTCTTTGCGTACGATATGATTAGGAAATTCCGTAATGATATTTCAATGAACGTTTCTTAAAAGAACCCGAGACCCTTCAGACCCCGAGGATCCCCATTGTACGCAGATATTTATTGCTCTGATTATAGTTCCCTGTATATCCGGCTCTAAATAAAGCCAACATCAATACTATCCCTAAGGTTTCCAATAATTTCAACATTTTTCATTTAATCTAAGCCACTTTGCGCGATAGAGTCTCTGATAGTTACTTGCTACTCTATTCTATATCTCTAAATAAAATAATACTCTTATTTAAACCGATATTTTTGGTGCAAAGGTTGAAAATCACATTCGTCTGGGACAAAAAAAGAAACAGAAATCCGAGGTTGTAAAAATGTTCAAAAATTATGTATATATCAAATCGGTTCTAAGATGTTTTTTGTTGATCATTAAGCAACTTTCTGATAGGAAATATTCTTGTATAAATAGAGCTATCAAAGGCTATTGATGTGATATGTCAATTGGCTAAATGAATTAAGCTTCAATAAACTTCGAAAACAATATCGGTAGTGCATGTTTATCATTTTGATGCATGACGAGCTTTCTTTTCGGTTACACGTGTCGCGCGTCATACGGCAGCGCCCCTCGGTGGCGCTAATCTGTCTATCTAATTTATCGATACTCGTATGCATGGTATTTATACCCCTCAATCTATATAGTCGTACTTTTAGCAGTGTTTTTCCACCATTGGCTCTCCATCCATCATTCTCCCTCCGACATCGAGAAAATCCAGTTGCCAGACACTTGCCCCCGTGCAACGGATGGGCACAGCAACAACAATAATAATAACAATAACAAATAATGAGCATCATAATATTCAAAATATTCGCACAAAAAAAACCCAAATATTTAATCCACTTTTGATGAGTGATTCATTCCCATGACATGGCTCGATGCTCGCCCTAGGGGCAGACATTTGCACAGCCATCGGAATGTGGTGCCTTAGATTTGATTCCATGGGGAGGCATAAAGATTACAAGCACTCGTTTATCGATTTATCCACCCCTCTTGCTTCGTTCCTTTTGAATGGAAGAGTGGAATATTTTCGATGAAGGTATAGCCCTCGATATACAAACAACAGGGCTATATATTGCCACTCGTGAGCTGGCCCTCTTGATAAGCTAAATAATGCTTTTCATGAGGTGTACTTTCCATATAATACACTCTCGAACCGATACCGATAAGCGTTACTATCTGCAGAGACTAACCGAACCGAACCAAACCGAACCCTCTCTCTGCCTGCCTTTCTGGGCACTTCAACCATTGCAAAATCGCCTCCAATCCAAACCGACCCGATCCAATCCGATGCGATCCATCACATGCGTAGCAGTGCCATTGACTCGAGGGCCCCCGGCGACCCCCTTCGTGCCGGGGAATGGCGGGGATCGTGTGTACCCATGCTATCAGTTTTGCGTCTGAGTGATCCACGATCCGCGATCCGCGAACGAGATTGCAATGCCTCCGAATGATTCACACGGTTTGCGACAGTTCCGGACGGACGGACGACGGGAGTCAAGTCATGTCGAGTCGGAGAGAATTCTGAAGATAGCGTCGCCGCGTACTTTGGGATTGTGCTCTGAGTTGTTGGGGGCGTAATGAACTTGGATCGCTTGGGCGATAACCGGTCCCCCTCCCCCGGTCATCGTAGCACTCTCTCACTCGCTCGCTCGCTCTCTCTCTCTTACATAAACAACAAGTAAGGTGGGGGGGCGGTGGCTTGGCGTTGCAATCATTCAAACAATAATGCTGTGCTTTGTTGTTGTTGTTTTTTTCGCAACGAAAAATTAAAATGTGCAACGCTTCAGCGATTACACACAGGGCTCAAAAACAGCCGGGCACTGGCACTGCCACTGGCACTGGCACTGGCACTGGCACAGGCACTCATTGTCGATTCTTTCTAATTGCTGTTGAATATTGTTGTTTTTAGTGTGCTTCGCATGCTTGTATCTACATTCCCATACCCATTCGACACTTTGGAAGTTGACTCCAATTAAGTTTCAACTTGAGATTCAACCTGGTTCAGAATTCAGTGCATGGCGGAATCTAATCGGACTGCGAGCAGCCCAGCCCCTGACTCATATGCAAAGGCACTCCATTGAGCGCTACAAAGAAACAGTCCAACAGTCCAACAGTCAATCAGTCCAACAGTCAAACTTCTGCGGCTTTGGATTCCTCCTCTACAAAGCCCCTCCTCCGTACCTCCATAAGGTTTAATGGCATCAATTAGCACTCCAGGGAATGTCAAAGTCCATTAAAGGTTGCGGATCCCGCTCCAATGTATGCTTGGGGAACCCCAGATAGTGGCACATGTGCACTGGGGATCCAGCAGGTGTCATTATTACCCACCCGTTCGTTTCTATCCGTTCCTTTGCTCTGCTCTGCTCTGCTCGGCGATTTCTCTCGTCTCGTTTCGTTTCGAGTCGATTATTCGATGTTCGATGTTCGATTCTAGTATTGTTTTCCCTCTCGCGTGCTTCGAACTTCGAAGGCAGTCGCCGGTACACTGGACGACGACCTAGGCGCAGCACAAATCAGCAGTCAGGTACACCGCCGCCAGAGGTGTTCCCATAATGTTCGTGTACCTGTACCTGTTACCATGTGTGTGTGTGTGTGTGTGTGTAGTCATAATAATAAATTAAATACGTTATCAAAGCACAACCACACAATCAGAAGAGCAACGCAAGGCAGCAAGGCAGCAAGGCAGCAGCAGCAGCAGCAGCGCAGCGCAGCGCAGGGCAGTGCCGACCATTTCTAACGCGCCTCGATTACGTCGTCGCCGCTTGCCATTTCTCGACCCACACGCACGCAGCACACACTCAGGCCGGGCCTGCCTACAGCCGGAGTCAGCTCGATAGGACCGTGTCACAGCTACTTTTGCTTCGAATATCAATTCATAAAAGCGCACATTCGAAGACAATTTCCAGTATTTGTTTTTGTTTTGTGAGGTATTTTTTTTTTTTTTGTGATGTTTTAAGACTGACGGACACAAAGTACGGGCCGGGCTTTTAGCTTTCTCTTAACTTCCAATCGCTCGTCCGAAACCCACCACTTCGTCCGTAGTGCTCGGATACTTCGAGGATTGAAGGATCTTGGGTACAGCTGGGATTTCTGCGAATACTGTGGAGGCATGCAGGACTCTAGTGTTCGAGCAGTAAAGACAATTCTGTTTTGCTTAAATATACCGGTTTATTCCAATTGCTGAAAACATCTGATTTATAAATATTTTTAAACTGGGAAGAAAACAAAACCGGAAAAAATCAGCTGGATGTGGGCTTTTAATTGAACAGAATCAATCTGCTAATGGTATTCGTGCCATAATAGATTGGGTTTAGATTGGATTGCTTTTCTTGGGATTCACATATGTATGATGATCATGGGTTGTAGGATCTTCTAGACTTTATTCATAATTATTTATTTACAAAGAGAAAAGCGGGCAAGCGAACAATGAATGGTATTTATCCCATTTGTCGGTTAATGAAATCTCGAGAGATCGGGGTCTTACAATTGATACAATATGCCCGTATGGCCGCCACAGACCGCTACTATCGATTCGTACTCTACTGTAAGCATCTGCATACGTACAGTGCAGTACATAAATCGAAGGCAGCAATCGCATCGATCGCATCTCTTTTGCTTTGGCCCCACTGTCAGTGAATGGATTTATTTTTCCCGCGGTGACTAAGAATTTGAACGCACACGGGCCAGAAATTCCCTGTAATTCCCTAAAAATTTCGTCATCGTTGGGCGGGTAGGCGGGGGGGTGGGGGCGGTGTGATTAGAGAGCTGGACAGACACAACAGGTGGGGTGGTGATCTACATAAATACGTATGTACATGTGTATGTAGCGGGTTAGCGGGTTTTTTCTCTCATTTGTTATTGGGGAGGTTCTCCTCCTGTCACGCGGCCCAGAGGAAGAGGGCTGTGACTTGTCCGCAGCGGAGGAGAGGCCATCGCTTATCGCAGTGGGTTGAGCAAACACGGACAAACGCACACACAACACACTCTGACAAGGGACGCAGACACACAGACTGTGTATCTGTGCGTAGATAAGCCCCGGAACAGAGCATACAGTGTACACACAGTCTACGTACGTTGCTGCGGGTACATACTCGCACTCGTACTCGCACGAAAAGTACAATAGCTGGATAGGTGTGGATGGTGAGGAAGGGGGTGGATCTCTGTGCTTTGGGGGTCCCTGCAGATCGCTTCGCGCTAGTATATCCTACATATTCATCTATGAACAACTATTTCTATAGCAACAAAATATTTTTTGATGGATTATGATCTATTTTGGGTGGCAGATTTAAAGATTTTCTTGGCCTTTTCGATCTTAAAATGGAATGAAATGAATGAATCTGCATAACCTCCGCAAAAAAAGGGGTACCGGGTGCGAGGCTGAGGGGGAGGGCGAGTCCCCCAGACTGGAAATGCACTCCCCGTCCTTACATAAACATCGTGACTGTACTGATATGGTCTGTATGGACTGTACTATGGTCTGCGATGGCGGGATGCGAGGGGGGGGCGGGAGTGGCGGAAGTGGGTGACAATGACGGAAGGGTTTAACCACAACCTTGATTCAAGGACAATTTTCACTGCTTCGTTTGTTCCGTTGGGTTGTAAATAATAAATGACAGGAAAATGTCAGTCACGAGATTTTCAACTCACACGCACACACACGTACATATGTGTGGCCTTGGTATGCGCGGGAGAGAAGCAACAACAACAACAACAGACAACATACAACAAAAAGTGCTAATAGGACGACACAGGCGGAGAAGGGACGGGGACTAACTTGATTTGTTGTGGAGCCCCAACGTGTACTGGGGCGCGTCCACTGCTGATGGCTGATCCACTTACCATGCTTCTGCTAGCCGGGCGGGAGGGGGGTTGGTGGTTGGCGGCTGGCGGCTAAAGGAGCGGTCAATATTTGGTTCGTGTTATCGTTGTTGTTGTAGCGATAAGCACGCACCCTGGGACGGGACACACACACCCAAGGGCGGGAGCAGTTGGTCCCGTTTCCTCTCAGGGTGTGTCTTTTTTGCCGCAAAAATTATACACACGCACCAACAGCGGCGGCAGCGACAACGACTCGTGTAAACAATTAAAGATGTATCGATGACGCGCTCAAGACGTTGCTGACTGCTTCTCTATCTCTCTCTTGTTACCACTCTGTGGCGGTGGTGCTGCTTCTGCTACCGTTTTGGCGCCTGCCTGCTCTTCTTCCGCTGCAACGCTCTCTCTCTCTCTCTCTCTCTCTTTTGCTCTTGTTGCTAGCGGTGCCGATTTGTTTGGTTTATTTTCGAATTAGAAATCTTTTCAATGCTGGTCTTTTTCCTTTTGTTTTAGCAACAACAACAGCCAAATCATAAATAATTTGCGATTTTTATATGGAATATATATTTTTATTTTTGTGTGCCTTGCTAATTGATTTTTTTCTTTGCGTTTTTTTGTTGTTTCTTTCGCGTCTTTCTTTTCTCGCACCACACACACCACCCCGGTTACCGCCCGAGTCGGATGATGTTCATGCGATTTTTTGCGCTGCCCGTCCGTCACAAGAAAAAAAACGAAATTGAACTAATGTTTATGGGGGAGAGGAGGGAACAACAAATGGCTGGGTAGCCTCAGGATCGATTTTCCAACTGCACGAGGAGCAGTACGCCTAGACGCCTTTCTTGGTGACTTTTTCCGCCTCTCTGGCGTTGGTACGGTACGTGTTGGAACAGCGGCGGCGTCGGCGGCGGCACGAACTATTGTTAATTTAATTGTATTTCCTACGCGGTGTAGGTGTCTGTCTAGCGGCTGGAGTTTACTTATCGGACCTAGCATTTGCGTAATTCGTTGTTGGCGCGCACATTTTGGCAAATGAGTTCTGACATTTTTGTTTTTTTTACATTTTGTTCGTATGTGTATGTGGAGTCCACATTTGCTACACCATTGCTACATAATGGAAGGAAAAAGAAGGTATGTACAAGAGGCGAAACGGCCCAGAAAATGCAACGCATGCAAGGTGAAATCCACCCCATTTGCCCGATATACCTTGCCGATTTTGTCTCCAAGGTATGTTGTCTTCACAAACGAGGTGAGGCTAGTACGAAGTTAGCAACTTGTCTTGGCTGTTTTTGCTTGTTGTCCATACCCCTTTCTATATCCTATTCAAAATTTCAACTCATGTTTCCGTTGCATTATGAGCGTCTGACCAGCAGAAATATACCGTCTCATGCTAAAAATATACCGATGACAAAAACGAACTTAGCCCACTTAAGCCCCCTCAACGACTTGAGGTATATGGCGGAGTATAATATTGCTGTAAGTTCTTCTCGTAGATCCATCCTATACTTCCTCTTTGTTTAGAAAAAACCACGATATCATCAGTTCACCAAAGTCCGATCAAAGTACTGTAATTAAAGTACATAATTATGTTAAAGTATGGACCCCCAACGCTATATTTACGGTAAATCGGTATATAATGGTATATTTGATCAATTTCAGCTATTACATTTAATTTTTAAAGGTAAAGGTCCATACGTTTTTTTTTGTTAATTTTCTATCTATATACCTTATATACTATACCGATATACTGAAAATATACCTTTAATTAAATTTCGACGTCAAAATATACCAAACAGTATACATGTAATTTACTGTAAATGGTCACATTGGAGGGTGGACCGTCGATGGTCCGCAACGATATGCGGCAGTGGAACTATCGATTGGAGCTCAATGCGTGGGTGGCGTTAACGTTGGCGGGAGATTTGTAATTTATGCTGGCTGTGCGGGGACGAAGATTTTGTAACAATCGTAATGGCAGCCTTAATAGAAGGCAATATTTGATCTATTTTCATTATTCGTTCCGCTGCATTGGTTATGGATGGAAGCAAAAATCTTGGTTATTCTGCAGAAAAACGAACCCTTATCCTTTCTCCAAAAATAAAAACACATTCTCATCCCCGGTCTCAAAGAAGTAGTTTTATTTCACATTGAAGATCTCAATTTGGTTTTTGTTTCTTTTGCTTTCTTTGTTTGTCTTACTCGTATGCTTACTTGAAATTCTCATCATATTCTCCATCATTTCAGTTTCTTCAATATCGCTTCACGCTTCTCACATAATTCACTAATCTCTTACAAAAACTTAAGTAATGTTTATTTCTTGCACAAAAACCAGCAGAATTAGAAGTAGAATAAATAACATAGAGAGAGCACGTTTCTCGATACGAAATAAATATGGTTACAAACTAAGTTTAAACTAGTTGTAATTTTATATATATATTTTTTTGTGGAATATATTCTATTATACTTTCTGTTTTGTTTAAGAAATGGCAGCTACAAGATTTGAGTTCCGAGAGAGTCTACCCATGGATCAAGTAAAATTTTCTTGCAAAACCAAAAAAATAAAAGTATAAGTATAAGGCTTTTGGTTAAACGAAAAGGGTAAGGTATTAGTCTGCCAATGGATTGGGTTTAAAGAAGTCAAAACCAAGAGATTAAAATTCTAGTCTTCAAACATGCTCTGCTCGCTCTTTCTCTCTCTTCATTTTGTTATAATCAGCGCCTTCACAGCGCCCACTACAGTGATGCTGTCCTGTCTCGCTTACTCTCGCCGTCCAGTACCGTCCGTCTGTCTATCTATCTGTCTGTCCCACTCTGGCTTGACCAATTCAAAGCCCCTTTTTCTATGACTCATTCTTTTCATTTGCTATCCTGCTTCCGGGTTTCTTTTCTTTTACTTTCTGCCCTGGTTTTTTTTCAAATTTTTTTTTTTGTTTTGTTTCTGTTACATCAAAAATTGGTTTCTCATGCACAATGGCATGCAAATATTCTGCATTATGACAAAAAATTATGCTCTTTAATCTTTAATATGTATACATATGTATATACATATATTTATGTATATTTTTATATATATATTTGTTGTTGCTGTTGTTGTTGTATATATAAAAACTTATTAGAAGTCCTCATGTGTGTTTTGTTGTGTTGTTTTTCTTGGTTTCCTTCACATATCATCATCATCTTCTCCATATCTTGTTATGCTTTTTCTTAGCAATTCTTATTAAAGAAAACAATTTGGTTTTTTTCATGTGATCCGTGTATGTGTATTTTACCTTTTTTTGTTTTTGTTTTTTTTTTTTACTTTGGTTATTCTGAAATTATGCACTTGTGAGGGGATGGGAATGTGTGTGGTGGCGGGGGAGGGGGACATCTTACCGTTAGCATAAAAAGTCCGTGTTCCAAGGAAACTCGTGCTGAGCAATAATTTGAAAAGAACGCAAATAGCAAATAGAGCGTGGTGCGGTGGTGTGTGCAAAAGTAACGGTAAATGTGTGCGTGAAAGTGTTGTGTAATGGTTTTTGTCTGTGTAGTGCCAGTGCTGCGAAATGCCGCCTGATTTTCGGTTATTCGGTGTTTCCGCTTTATTATTTTTTGTGTGTTTCTTGGTTTTCTTTTAGGAAATTACGTATTAAGCTTTTGAGTAGGTTTTTTTCTTAAGGTTTTTTTTTTGCTTATTTTACACAAAGTTGTTCAATTTACTTATGTTTTCCATTCCATTCCATTTACCACCCACTGATTTTCTCGCTCTCTGTCTTTTGTGTGTGAAAAAAAGGTTTTGCTTGATTTTAGTTTGTTCTTTCTTTGTTCTCCTCTTTTCTACTCACATATTTGTCTATTCTCTTAATTTGGTTTTGGTTTAAATTGCATGTGGTATTTTTTTTTCTTGTGTTTTACTTTGCTTCTGGTTTGCTGTTCCCCCGACAACATAAATCCAATTGGGAGTACACATATATAACATATATAGCACACATTTATGTAAACGACAAGAGAATAATTACAATATATATTTTTCTTGGGCTGTGTTTCCCGGTTTTTTGTTGATTACTTTTACTTTTATTTTTACTTTGACTTTCATTTCTGGTTTTTGCCAATCTTTTCCTTTTCCGTTTTTTGCTCCCCAAAAATCTGTTTCCTTTCTGGTTCTGTGGATGGACCATATCATATCCAATATGCTTTATGCTTTACCAATGCCATGACTCCTCTCCAATGTTCTTTTCTTTTTGTTTTGGGTGGAGCCGCCATTTCGGGGCCTCAAAAGCAATGAAATACACAAATACAATACAATACATCTATATTATAACGTATATGTATAAATATCTATTAAGTTGTTCCGTTTGCTCTTTTTCTCGTGGTTTTGATGCACAAAATATGTGTGTGTGTGTCTGTGGTTGTTGCCATTTGACTATGTAGCTTTTTCTTGTTTTTTTAATCCAAATTAAAATACATTTTGTAAATAAATGAGAGCGTGAGAAATGATGATTTATATTCTGCGGCTTCAATTCAATTTCGTTTACAATTATTTGCAATTACAAAGATTTTTTTGATCAAGTTGTTGTCCATCTTCTGATTTGTTGTTTTGTATCCTTTATTTTGCTTATCCTTTGCTTAGCGCGGCGTTAGCTGCTGTAAAATCGGGTGTAGTGGTGGTTTGTGTGCTTTTGCCTGTACTTGAATGTTCTGTTATGTTGTGTCTGTGTGTCTGTCTGTGTGTGTGTGTGTATGCTGTGTTCTGTTCTGTTCAGTGTCCTTTTGTTTTAGTTTTTTTTATTTCGTTTTCTTTTATCATTTTGATTTTTTTATGGTTCTTTCCATTTGCTGTATGCTGCCTCCCTGCCTGCCTGCCAACGATTCATCTTCTCCTTCTGGGATTGGGGTTCGGGCGGGGGGAAATTATACCTAAGGGGGAGGGCTAAATGGCTAAATGGGAGTGGGAGGGAAGTGTGCAAAAAATAAAAAGAATGGCATTTTGTTTCATTCAAGTTTAACATCATTTTTAATCGTGATTGGAGGTTTATGCAAATCATTTTCATGTCTTCAAAACAGAACAAATTCAATAATTATTTTTTGTTTTGTTTTTTTTGTTGTTTGTGTGTGTACAATCATATCAATCGATCTGAGTGTGTGTGTGTATGCATACAACATATCAATCGATCAGTCTGTGTGTGTGTGTGTGTCTGTTCGTACAACATATGAATCAATCAGTAAAACAATTCTCAAATACATAATAATAGGGGGAAATGCATGTGTGTGTGTGTGTGTGTGTGTGTGTGTGTGTATATATCGTGTTGGTGCTTGTTGCCGGATGGGGGAATGATGATAAAACGGCGTTGGTCCTACTACGATCTTCATCTATAATAAATATACAATCGGATCTATCTAGCGGTGTATTTTGGGTGTGTGTATTCGTGTGTGTTTTGCAAAAAGTTATTTTTTCCAAAATGTTGGATGCTTGTGTCTCTGTGTCTGTGATTCGTGTGGATCAATCAATGATCGAAATACCAAAGCAACAAATTTTTGGTATTTCGTTCATTTGCACCATGCCACACACGGACGAACATTCTGCTGTGGTGTGTGTGTGTGTGTGTGTGTGTGCGTTTTGGAGATTGATTTGCGTATATGGAACCATAAGTGTTGTGTAGGATCCTAGGCACCGTGTTCTGATGGCAGTTCGACATCGACATCCACATCCAGATCCTCGTCTTCGTGTTCTTCCTCCTCCTCGTCGTCATCGTCGTCGTCGTCCTCCTGATCAGGTGCAACTGGAGGTGGAGCCACAGCAGCAGGTACCGCTGCCACTGGCCCCAGTTCCTGCTGCTGCTGTTGTTGTTGTTGTTGTTGTTGTTGTTGAAGTAGCTCCTCCTCCTCCTGTTGCTGTTGTTGAAGCTGCTGCAGCTCCTCCAATTCGGCGCGACGACAACTGCTGCAACTGGTGGCATCACTGTCCTCGACAATGGTGCCATCATCTGTGTCTTCATCCTCATCCTCTTCCTCTAACTCCTCCTCGTTGTCGTTGCCCACCACCTCTTCATCGACATCAAAATCCACATCGACTTCGACATCTTCTTCATCCTCGTATTCCATGTCCTCCATATCATCCTGTTCAAAGTCTAGGTCCGGATCCAGTTCCATATCCGTCTCCAATTGTTGATCCGTGTGATGGTGCTGCTGTAGAGGTTGTTGTTCTTTTTGTGTGTCTTCACCATCATCCGCCTGATTTTGATGCATCATTTCCACATCCCTTGGCTGTTCCTGTTCCTGTTCCACCTTCTGATGTTGTGGATCCACATCTTGTTGGGGATGCTGCTCCTGTTGTTGGCTGTTGTGTTGTTGTTGTTCTTGTTCTTGTTCTTGTTGTTCTTGTTCATCGTCCACTGATGGATGCTGCTGTTGCTGGTGTTGATGTTGTGTATGTTGTTGTTGTTGGTGTTGCTGCAACAGCTGCTGCTCGGCCATCAGCCGCCCGACCACCACCGCATCCGACTCGACAATACTTTAACCGCTCTTAAACAGTAGTATGGCCACCTGGCCCAAATAGAAATAAATGAAATGGCGCGTCTCGTGTGTCACATACGATCCAAAGTTGCGTCCCACAATGCAATGCCAAGTTGGATTGTATTTCTTGTCGAATTCTTTCTTGATATAGGCGGCAATGTCCTACAAAAATATAAAAGAAAAAAAAGAGAGAGAGATTAGGATAAGAGAAGATAAATTTTAAGTTCAAGAAATCCCCCGCCGTGTAGAAGCACGCGGTTCTCGACTTCTGGATACCCCTTATGGCAATTTCATGATACCCATCAAAATACATAAGGGTAGACGGGAAGAGGGAGATGGGAACTCGGAACTCGTACCCTCGCCACGTTTTGCCCGGACTGTACACGAAATTAATATTCAAAATAAGCTCTATTCCCCCCTTGAAAAATCCCTGTGTTTATTAAGGATTTAATTTATTAAAATTTTACAAATTTAGCATGCTTTTTGTTTAAAAAATCAGTTTGTGAAGGGAAAAAACGAAACAAAAATTTCCCCAAACGGACGGAAACAAGCAACACACAAGTGGCTGTCAAATGTTTGTTGGAATTAACAGCAGGGAAAGAGCGGCGGCAATAAAATGCCCTGCCACACTCACACACACACGCACACACACACACACTCTTCCAGTTCATTCCCCATTCCATGCGACAGTCGTAATCGTCGTCTGTCACTAGGACAACCATCGACCCCCGAAATAGTGACCTCAAAACAACTGAAAATGCTTGGTCTTGGCCCCGCAGGAGGACTCGAGAAGGGGGTAACAAGAAGCGGAGGTAACAAAGGAAATCGTAAGTGTGTGTCGGGGGGGGGAGGGGGTAGGTGGCGAAAGGGGGGCGCAAAACTTCTGGTTTGCTAATGAGTTACGTTATGGATTGTTGCGTTTTTGTTTGTGGGTCAAAGAATTCAGCAATTAGAGCAACAGTTTTAGAGCCACTGCGGCAAACAGAGAGAGAGAGAGCAAAGCGTTTGAGAAGGAAGAATGTGGAAATGCAGCGGCAGAGACGCAGCAGGATTGCATCAGAACGGAGCGGAAGGATGAACATTCGCTTGGCTGGGGATACGCGTCTGCAGCTTAAACGGCGTTGCAAATGTCAAAGGTCATTGCCAGAGTTGCATTCCCGTTTGGCCTAAAACATGGCATAAAAGCCAGGGTTACGCAAAACATTCACACTCGCACACACACACAAATGTGGCAAGTAGTTGAAAAGTTTCCATGAAATCTTGAGTATTTTAAGTCGCATAATGATACAAAAAAGAAACCCCTAAAACTTGAGGGGAAAAATCAAAACATTAAAGGGCGGCGGTGGGAGCGTCGATAGGATTCTATTCGGTCACCATTTTCGGGTGGCATGAGGTGTGGGTGTGTGCTGTGCAGTCGTAAACTTAACCCCGTAACCTACAGAAACAAAAACAAACAGAAAAGCTAGAAAAAAAAAGTTGGAGTACAGTGATAGCTCCCCCCCACCCCATTGGCTACGCTCCCATACAATCATCTTCCTTCCATTCATCTATGAATTTTCTTCATAGATCGTTCTTAGATCGTTCTTTCATCGATATTTTCATCGATATTATTCAATCCTTCCCTTCTTATAACCTTCCTTCTGTATTTTTTGTTGTTTGTTCAAGAACAATGTTACGATTTCTGCTTAGGCATCATGACGTTGGCCATTATTCTCGTTCCATTCTTGCCACGAAACGATCGCCTATTTGGCCATTCTATTCCTTTTGTTGGGTGTTCTTTTGTTGCTGTGTGTCGTGCGTGTGCCCACGCCGAATGTCGTGTCAGACGACAATATAAAGTTGATTGTTTTATATTCAATTTCGGTTTGGGGCACACAAACCAGCTCCTGCAACTGCAAAACTCCAGAGCGTCGCACACCATTCCCATCGCTTAGCAATGCCATGGAATTTTTTGTTTTGGCAACTCAACATTTTGACACACAGCCCGCCCGGCAAGCGCCCACCTATAGGCTGTCACACATTCGCGAAGGAGTTTCGTTTCGTGAATAATAATGTACCTTTTGCTATTTTGGACATGTGTTATTCCAGCCATCCAGTCCTTCCTTTTTCTATGGCAGATTTTTAGACATGCATCAATCTGTGGAGCGGCAGTATTGCTCGCCTACGAAAGGAAACAAATTGTCCCATAAGCGAAAGGACACACCTATGGATGTCCGTATGTGCATGCTCAAAATCCCTTTGAATGTTCCCTAAGCGAGCGGCTACATCCGCCCCGAGCGATTCACTCTGGATTTGCTCGGGAAAATGTTTCAAATTTATGAAACCGTTTTTGGGCAGGAGCTCCCGTAACTCCCTCCCCCCCCCTGCCGCGCAATCCACCCCAGCAACCAATCAAAACGAGGAATGTGTGTCAATCAATGTGAATATGTATCTGTTGTTTTTCCTGTGTATCTGATGGATACTTCTTCAATATTTACATGCGAATATTCCATTTTCTGTCCGCATATTGATTAAACATTTTTGGCCACGCAGAAAAACAATCGGGGGGGCAAAAGGGAAGGAAAACTACAATTTGTTGGGGTGGAGTGGGGGGTTGGGGGGTCGGGAAGGGACAAAAATATTTTGTAATAAAATGTTTGGCCATTTGTTTGCATTCGCGGCTGCGACTGTGACTATGACTGTGACTGCGGCAGCTCTGCGGCTTTGTGTGTGGCACATAAAAACTAATGAAAGGATAACATCATACAAAAAGGGAGCTAGATATAGATAGATAGAAGGATGGAAAATGAGAGAGAGGGGCTGGAGATAGGGTGTAATTGAGAGCCAAGGCGGACACACAAAAAACCTAATTAAATTTATTTTTAAAACTTGAAGCAGAATAATGGAAATTCATTGATATTTTTTTTTCTGCTGCTGCTGCTGTTGGCCCTCCTGTTGGATTATTTTAGGGCTTTGCCTTTAAATCTCTGCCGCAGTCAAGGCGCTCGCGCGCACACACACACACACACACACACACACAGATACACAGGCATAATGCCAATGGATACGATATTTAAGCTGCTCGAAAGGTTGCCGCCGCCACCGACACCGCTACAACCGCTTTTGCCCCTAAAAATACGAAATACAGTAAGTAGAATCCCAGCAAAAAACAAAACAAAAAAAGCATCGGCTAGAAGAAGCTTAACCCTTGTGTGCCCTCTCCTCCCCACTCCCCACCCCCTCTCAAACCTCACTGTGCGAGCGGTAGTATTAGTTGCGTATCTAATGGATACCCCCAACACACCCCCCCCCCCCCTCGATTTGGCAGGGAATTTTTTGAAGTTATAATCAGCTTCGAAAGCAGATTGCCTGCCGCTCTATGAACGAGGGGGAGAGAAAGAGCACCTGCCCCCGTAAGCAGGTCATATGTACATATGATATCGATCCGATCGAAAGGAGTTCGAGGATTTGTTTTCGTTTGCCTCACAACATTTGCCTCCTCCAATGTTCCCATAAGCGAATGGCATGAAACTCGCCAAAGCATGAGATATGTACCATTTGTACCATAAATCTGTCGATGCCATATACAGGGTCACAAAAACGTCGGAGAACTCTACAGAGTTTCGGAACATCTATAGGGATCGGATCTGTTGGCTTCAGGATTGATCGGCTCGTAGAGATTCACTGAAATAAGGTTTCCCCCCACCATAATGGAGGAGGATATTTTATTCGGTGGTCCAAAAAAGGTTAAAAGGTGTCGCCATCTTTCACTCTTTTGCCTTTGTTTGCCTTTCCCTTTTGCTGTTCCTTTTGTTGTTGTTTTTGTGTGTGTATTGTATAATTTTTCAATTTTCATCGAAGCAATTAAATTTGTGTTCCGCCAACAACAGAAATTCATATTTAATTACCGCAAAAAAACCAAACCTAGACACACAGAAAAACACACACACACAGACACAGACACAGTCTTGGAAAGAGAGAGACAGATACAGGCAGAGACAGAATGACAAACTTATTATGCAATAAGTAAGGGAAGAGCAGCAGGAAGAGGAGGAGGAGGAGGAGTAGGTAGGAACAAAGAGAAGAGGTAGGAAGGGTAGAAGGCGTAAGGAGTGGGAAGACTGGCAAGCGAAAGAGTAGAAGAAAGAGGAGCAGGAGGAAGAGTTAAAAAAGCAAGAAAGTTGAAGAACCGAAAATAGGTACAGAAATACTCCAAATAGTAGCAGAATTGACAGGAAGTACATAGGGGGATAGAGAGGGAGTGACGGAACTGCTAGAGGAGTGTCAAACTCCCCCCACGGGGAACCAGGAGCCAGAGCACCGGAGCACCGGAGCCCCAGAGCCCTCAGAAGCCCCAAGCTAGTGCGATAGAAAAGGACGGCAACAAAAGGCAATCAATCGTGTGATTGTGTACGTGTATGTGGGTGTGTGTGTTTTATTTATAGCAACAAGAGGTAGGCGCGAAATAAGGGGGAGGGAGCTGTGTGCAAAACACCTGCGTGGGTGTATCTATAGAGAGGAGTGGGAGCGGGAGAGCGAAGAGCGAAGAGAGTGCTTATTACTGCTTTTACTGCTCAATTAGCTGTTCTATCTAGCGCTCTCTCTCTCTCTCCCCGTACACCCCCCCACCCTCTTTAACCAGCATTACCTATTATTCCCTCTCTCTCCCCCCCCCCCCCCCCCCCCCCTCTCCGTCGTGCAGTTTGCTGACTACCACTATCCCCTTACCCACTATTTCGCCACTTCCGCTGTGATTTCAAGTTTACTTTTGCGTTTTGCCTTTCAAGGACCTTTCCTACTCCCCACCTCCACCTCCACCTCCTCCTCCTACTCTGTCGCTATCCCGCTGTGTGTACCGCTGCTCGGTTGTCTCTGTCTTCTGTCATTGGCATTGACAAAGGCACCGTTAGTTGATGGCCATTCCCTCCATCTCCGCCTCCTCCACCACCACCTCCTGCTCCTGCTGCTGCTGCTGCTGCTCTTGGTCGCTCACTGACCCACACGCAAACACAAACACTTTGACCAGAGCACGTTTTTATCAGTGTATTTGTCTGTGTCTGTGTCGGTGTGTGTCTGTCCCCCTCGCACTCACGTAGCACCCCTATTGATTATTCCATTTCTTCGACTTCTCTTCTGCTGTTGTTGACATTGTTTACAGATTTTGTTGCTGTTGCTGCTGCCGTTTTATTTTTTATTTTTATTCAAAGACTAAATCAAGAGCTTATTAGTCTTGTACCTCTCCCCCTCGTCCCCACCCCACTGCTTCTAGCTTGTTTGTCATTCCTTCCGTTCCCTTCGTCTGCGGCCGGGCCTTGAACAGCCCTTAACGATGGTCAGTACTTCTCCTTACGCCTCCCCCCCTCGACACACACACGCCTCACACATAGGTCATGATTATTTCTAGGGAATATTTCTTTAAGCGACAGTCACAGAAGAGATTCATTTCTTTGCTTTAAGGAGCAGACAAGCGAATTTTCCCTAGTCTTAAAGATGATTCATGGGAATTTTCCCCTCTTCTTTAAATTGAGTCATTACTAATCCCTTTACTAAAGTCAAACATGGGTTCATGGAGAATTTCCTTCTAAATAAAACCTTAATTAAGGGACATTTCATTGCATCGTAGATTTATCTATAAAGGGTTCTCTGTTTTGTGCATACATTTAGTAGATTTTCGGCGATTTTTTGCCTCTATTCAAAGCAGATCATCATTGAAAATTCACCTTATATCAAGGGACTAGAAATATACTCCATTCCGGACCGTTTTTCCTTTAATATAAGAGTATAATGTATATATGTGGGTTGGTGTACCACACAAAATACCAAATGAAGATAAGATCCCTAGACGACGAGCAACGATGATCCCATCACTAAAAAGAACGACGAGCAACGATGATCCCATCACTAAAAAGAACGTCGAGCAACGATTATGCCAACACGAAGACGAAGAGCAAGGAAGAGACAAGCAGAGAAATAAAACGAGGACGGTACCGAAAAGACGTAAAAACGACGACGTATCCTAAATTTATCAAACATTAAATACAAATTGAAAATTCCTTTGATTGAAAATTAGAATTCCCGTTTTTAAACATCGAAAAACATCTCTTAATTTTCTCCTTATTTAAATGGAAATTTAATGAATGGATGACCATCTGGGGATTTAAGGGAATTTGCTTTTGATATTTATATTTTTAGCCCCCCCCCCTCCACCACACAACGAAACAACCTTTAATATTGCCATCTAAAATAAGTCCCTCAATGAAAACCACTCGTTAGGGCTTTTGTGGAGCAAGTCCCCGCACAAAAGTAAATCCGAGATAATTGGCGCCTCCTTGCCTGCACTTGCAACCAGCAGTTGCAGCAGCACAGTACAGCACAACAAATCCCCGCTAATGCCCCGCTATGCCACGTTCTCAACACATCGCACACCTGTTGGTCTTGCAATATTCCTCCCTCGCAGCCCTGCCACCCTCCTCTTTGGTAATGCCTTTTTACCGCCCTCCACTCACCTTCTCAATGTTGTACTTCTCCAGGGCCTGTGTCGCGCAGTCGACAGCATCCTGCTGCATCTCCTCGCTCATGTCGGCATTCTTGATGACAGCCTTTCGGTCAGACATTTTGTGGCTTTTGTTGTTTGTTTCTTTTACGCTTTAATTGTGATTGCAATTTAGCTGCTGTCTATCTGCTGCTGAATCGTCGGTAACTGCAACGAAAGTGAGAAACGATGAGCACCACTGTGGGGGAGAGAGAGAGAGAGAAAAGTAATAATTAACATCTTGTTGCACATTTCGTATCTGGGAAGGGGGAATGTAATTAAAAATGCGGCTCATAATCGGGTTAGGCACTGCAGAAACACCAGCCCACACACACACACACACACACACATATCCCACACATAAACGCAGGCGCATTGGAGGCTGGCTGCTGCATACTTTTATGGGCGGCAGTGGAGGGAGGCGGAGCGGGGACAGGGCCCCTCACACATCAGCCATCCATCAGCCCAGGCCTCAAAACTTAATTATAGAACAGGGCAACAGAGCCAGACCCGTACATACGTACAAGGAGTATTACAAATCAAATATCAGAGCTGGATGGACGTCAGACCCCCCCCCACCCGCACCCGCACCCACACCCACACCACTGCAACCAATTAGCGTGCAATACTGCAACGCAAGAGAGGAAATGAAAGACAGAAAGAGACAGAGAGCGAGAGAGAGAGAGCTGGAGCAAAAGCGCAAGAGCAAGTGTGGCAGTGGCAGCATCCCAGCATCCCAACAGCAACGTTGCATGGCCTTGAGGCCAGCTCGATAGCCATTTCCCTCTAACACAGCCAGTTGAGTGTGGCCATAACCGTTAACCAAGGACGCGCAAGCAAGCAAGCAAAGGAGGAGAACGAACACAACAACTAATTCAAATTCAAGGCTCAATCCAAGGACTCACATTCCCACCACACCATAACCTCCCCCGCCCCCTTTCCAATGAGCGACTGGACCTCGATGCTCATTTTGTTGTAGTAGCATACTTTTGCGCGCGCCCATGGCATTGCTTATTAGCCAAAGAAACAGAGAAAAAGCGAAAAACAAATAGCAAATAAATGCACTTTAGTAAGACGAGACAGCGAGAGCGCGAGAGAGAGAGAGAGACAGAGGGGTGGCACTAGAGGGGCTCTTTGCTAGTCACGGGCGGAGGGAGTGAGAGAGGAAGGGGATAAACTGAAACGGTTACAAATGCTAAATGCCAATCGGTAATAATTCAAGAAGAGAAATCTCACAAGACAAGCAACAATTATTATCAATCCAATTGGGAGTGGGCATACTGACACACGCATACACATAGCGAGACGCACTCACATATGAGCGATTGACTGGTGACGGCAGAGCTGGGAGCCAGCAATGGCTCTGCTTCTGCTTTCCTCATAAGTCAATTAGAAATTGCATTGACAGTTGGACAAACGGAGACGTTCTGTCCCTCTCCGTCACACGCACCCACACACATGCACAGAAGAGCCGGACAAAAGGGTCAGGAAATATCATAATTATTAATACAAACAAAAATCTAAGCGCGAAACTTTGTATGTGTGCGAGGGAAATGAAATTATAAATGGCAGGCGGACACGCGTTTCCTCTCCTGAGTAGACACACACACACAGAGATAGAGATGGAGAGATAGGGAGAGAGAGAGAGAGAGCGACTGCACCGTCAGGTAATAGAATTTCCCGCTATTGCATGCGTATTCATGTTTCCTTTCATTACGGGCCACAGAGCTTTTTGCAATTCGATGCCATTCACGCGGTGGCGAGCGGGAAAACGCGCGATTTTATCATTCACTACCGCCTAAGGCTCCTATCCTCATGCCCCGACAATATGTCGGATCTGTCGGAAATTACCATCATAGACTTCCCCCGTGTACCCTTTCAGTTACCTGAGGAGCAGTATCCACGCTAGTGACTAATTAGAGTCAGAGTTCGAATTTCCTTTACCGCAAAAGAGGGATTCTTAAATTTTGATATTTAATCCAGTTGAAAACACATACAATGAAATATTCGGAATTAGTAGTAGTACTAATGGAAATATATAATGAATACTGAAGTTAAAAGAAAGGGTATCTTTATCCATTTGTAAATAAAACGAGACATCTGTCAAATCTGTACAACAATGTCATATATGTACATATATATGATTATAGATGTACAGATGTGCATATGTATGTGTGGATTGTACCTATGTACCTCTTTCTAATGACTAATTTTACATAAATTGCACTCCCCCATCCCCCATCCCTCCGACCACAATTATCCAAATATCAATCTTGGGGCAAAATATTGTGTGGACAGGGTCTGGAAACTTCCAAACAAGAAAACACAAAACGGAAACCACAGACGACCATAATTGCTGCGCTGCCGACTTCTATGAATAAATTAGCCAGACAACAGATCGGATTAGGCGAAATATTCAAAAGAATTGTACAAGTCGCGGGGGAGCTCGGAGCTGGAGGCGGTCTACCTTTTTTCCGAAATGCCCGCGCTGACGTCACTGAAGCGAAAACTTGATTTTGTACGCCTCTTCTCAAACTATTATACCATTTATGCATATTTCATGTTTCAATTTCGATTAAAAACCAACAAAAATAACTAAAACCCCAAATTCGCAAACAGTGCGTGGGCAGCGACGCTGACTGCGGCAGCGAAACTGCAGTGCTGAAATGTCTTTCATCTCTTTCGCACTTCTGGTGCTGGTGCGACACCAGGAGCTCTCGTGTTTGTGTGTCTCCGTGCAAAAGCCGCACCGCATCGCAGCGCACTATGGGAATTCGGCGTGCTTTTTTGGTCGGCTACACAATGCAGTGCCCCGATACAGCGTTCCCAATAATTATACACGTACATTGCACAATCCCTCTGCCCACCACCCACCGACCAAGACCTGAGAACATTCTCACACACTCACATATTCACTTGCCTTTTGGGCAGAATTTAGCACTTACCTGAATTATTATTTGCAATTTATTGCAATTGCGCGCGCGATCTTTTTGGCTAACAATGATTACAGTAAAACTTGGCTGCCTTCCGTTTTGTATTATTTTATCACAAAAATTGAACAACTGTCACCGGAAAATCAAACCTACTTTTTTTGTAAAATAATGCTATTGACCAAACGTACAAAATTTGACAGAAAAAACCCCAAAATTTTTGGTTGGCCTAATGCATGGGATGGCTCTGCTCTGTGTGCATGTGTTGTGTGTGCGCGTGGGATATATGGCAAAGTTCCTTTTTCCAGCAATTTTGCACGCAATAAGAATTTAGCACGCCGCGTCTTGCCACTTCAGAACGAACAAAAAATAAATATACATAAAGTATATTCAACACGGCAAAAAAAAAACGTCACCGACCGATTTACAGAACTGATTTATTTCCTAGATTGTAATTTGCCGCAAAAAAATTGCATTTATGTATGTGGGATTTGTGTGAGGTTTTGTGTTTACCGCTAAGCGCACTCGTCGTGTTCGCCTTGTTTTACTGATTGAAACACTTCTTTCCGGTACAAAAGCCTGAACTCAGCTCGTTGACTGTTCGAATATTATTGTTAAAGTGACGTGCACTGAGTTTGTGAAGCCGCACGAGCCCCGAAAATTCCGATAACGTTGTCGGGCCGGCCTGCTATTGGTCAGAACTGGGCGGCGTCTGGCAGACGACATCTGGCAGGCCGCGTCTGGCAACAGTGATGCCCGTGTTTGAGTAGTCGATCTGGGTAGATATATCTTTGGTTGGCACTAGGAGGGCCAGAAAAATGGTACTCACTCAAGGAAAATGAATTGGCAGATAAAATATTGGAATTAATACGGAGATTTGGTTGTTTTTTACAATGTATCGGTAATCGATTTCGGGTTTCAGAGAGGTGCGCATCACTGTTTGCCGGTAGGTCTGCAGGGTTGCATGCCGGCAGACCATACAAGCCGTTGTGCCAACATTCTATTTAAATCTTACAAATAGAGTAAATTATTTGACGTTAATTTAACTAAATGTGTGCCAAGAAAAATTCGGACACTTTATTTTGCGGCCACAATTAGGTCGAAATCTTAGAGCGGGAAACAATATACAAATAATCGTCTAGTCATTAAGGTCTATGAAATTATATATATAAATAAATAAATTTGGTCGGGACGGTTTTTAATACGTAATCAACTATTGTTGGCTGGATGATCGTGGCGGTAAAATTACGCATCTCGAATTTGAAAGAAGTCCGTAAGTACGGTCATACTGCGAGGGTGCAATATATTGAATAGACTTCAATTACAAATATTCATAAGCACATGGGCACACCAGAAATTGGAAGCTAAATAATATCGCTATCGAAGAAAGTCAACACTGAAACCACACCGATATTTTCAATATTTTCTCGTTGCCACCTTTTTGTTTTTTTTTTTCAAAAGGAAAAATAACATGACTGTTTTTAATTTGAAGAAACGAATGATAGCTGAACATTTTCAATATTTTATTAAAGTGATATTTAAGGTTTTTTGCAGTATTTCCGTTAGCTCATCTAGCTCTGCGGGATTAACTCCCATTTTATTAAATGAATATCGCTATATTTTAGGCTACTCCAAATTTGCTCGAATTACATTTTTTCTAAGCGCACAAGATTTTGTTGATAGACAAAACGTCAACCTAATGTAGAATTTTTCAATTATCTGGTGAACTAGTGGCGGTATTGGAAAATATCGATACAAAATGGTATATCACCGGTGACAACATTAAAATAGCTTAAAAAAGCTAAACGCATTTCTAAAATATCGTGAATTCCCCACAGTTGGCCTTCAAAACAAGCAGGATCTGCCGGGAAAAAAACGAGCAGGCAACCCTGGTCTGTTTACAGGTCACCACTATACGTCTGTTATTGTTGGGATTTGCTCTCATTTTTTGGGGACTTGATCTGTTTTTCAACAAAAATGTTGACTTGTTTTGCATAAACCTTATTTTAAACACAATGCAATAAGAGGGAATACCTAGAATAAACCAATCTTGTAGACAATTGATTCATCAATCGTATAAAACTATGTGTTTAGAATTAAAGGTTCTAGCTAGCTAGTAAGATTGAGCCGAGTAGCAAAATCGAGGAATATG